TAACAGGAATGTTGGGACAAATTTTCGCTTGTCCGTCGTGATTCGCTCACGGTGCAGTCGGGCCGAGCCCAGGATTTGCTTATCTTGAAAATTACAAAATTAAAGCGTCATTCACAGGACCAGAGGACTCGAAGGGACCCGAGCACACTCCGCTCGGTGCCTCGCGGCATGGTGGCGGTCGGCCGCACGTTTTCCCACGATGCAATGCCCTTTGCGAATCGTGTGATAGTCGCCTCGTCCCCAAAGGTGGGTCAGCCCCATCGTGCCAGGCAGTTCTGGCGCTGCTGGGGTGCACTTGGCTATGAGTTTCCCGCTCCCTGTGCCCCCTGACGTTGTGTCCGAATTTCGGCTGCCATTTCGACTCCTCCTCGATCCTTGTTCCTCCTCTCATATGCCTCCTCCTCCTTGATCCTCGATCCATCTTTTCGAGTCTCATCTTCGATCCTCCTCGATCTTCAATTTTCCTAGATCCTCGACCTCCTCGACACTCCTCGACCCTTCGATGCTCGATCTCCCTCGATCCTCCCCCTCCTTGTCCTCCGCCCGGATCCTCCTCGAGCATCCTCTTCGACCGCCCCCCAGGGCAGTTTTCCGCCGCGGGCTCCCGTTTGACGGCCCCAGGGCCCGAACACGCCTTCCCTTTGGGCATAATCGAGAGACAGGACTGCGGGGTTACAGGATCGGTCGTGGAGGTGAGTTGCGGGCATATCTCGACCCTCATCCTGAAGGAGCTCTTTCCCCGAGGGCAGGAGCCCAAGTCCTCCAGAACGGAGAGAGCTCCCCGAGGCCGATCAGAGCCCTCCTCCTCGAAGAGCAACCCGAACCGAGTCCCGGCCGCGCCCTTTCGTCTGGCTAGGCTTCGGTCTGGCTGGGGCTTTGGCCCGGCTGCGCACAGAGAGCCCCCCGAGGTAGTCCCCGCTGGCCTCAACAGGTCCCCCCCCCGAGTCCCAGCTGGCCTCAAGCCCTGGCGCCGCCTCTGGTGGGGCGCTCCCGCGCCCCAGCGCTGAGGTGTCGAGGGGGCCTCTGTGGAGCCTCGCGGAGGCACAGCCTCCAGATCCTGGAGGACGCAAAGGAGGAGGAGGAGGAGGAGGAGGAGGAGGAGGAGGAGGAGGACGAGGAGGAGGAGGAAGGAGGAAGGAGGAAGGAGGAATGTGGAAGGAGGAAGGAGGAGGGAGGAAGAAGGAGGAAGGAGGAAAGAGGAAGGAGAAAGAAAGAGAGAGGAAGCAGGAGAGAGGAGGGGGAGGAGGAGGAGGAGGAGGAGGAGGAGGAGGAGGAGGAGGAGGAGGAGGAGGAAGAGGAGGAGGAGGAAGAGGAAGAGAAGGAGGAAAGACAAATCGTGCCGTCCGGTGGTTCATCTTGTTGGGCATCTTCGGGCCGCTTCTGGGGCCCGTGGCCGCCAGACACCTGCTCAGGAATACATATGGCCCCGAAGCCACGGAGGCCGACGTGACGACAAACGACAACGTTGGAGGACGGGGGGGGGGGCAGGTGTTCCATCTTCTGGCGACGGGCTCTGCATGACATGAGAGGAAGGTGATCAGCCACGCGCAGAGGAGGGTGGGGGAAAGTGGGAAGGGCTTCTTGGCTGGGAGTTGGCCGTCGGCACAATTCCCAGATCGCGCCAGCGCCAAGCGGCGAGGCGTCACTCGCAGGGGGGAGGGGCGAGGGGAGGTCGCATACCCGGCCTCATCGCGAATAGACGAGCTAGCTCCAACACGCGCCAGGAACATGCAAACAGCATTTCTCTTCCTGCTTCTCCCCGCGACCTTCCTATCGGCCAGCCGCTGCCGCCCGAGGGTGCCCCAAGCACCCGGCGAACCAGCGAACCAGACCTCCGACGCCGCATGTTTGCCACAACGTGGGCCCCCAGAGGTCTCGACCTCTTCCTCGGGACCAGCGTTTCATCCCGAGCCGTTGTTTGACGACCCCGGGGTCCCGCAAGGTCTCCTATGGGGGCCCTTGTGGGGACAGGGCCACGCAGTTATCGATGGACGCCTGTTGGCCGGCTTTGGCTCCTGGTCGTGGGCGAAACTTGACTAAACACGTCCGTCGTGATTTTTCACGGCGCGATGCCGCTGTTTACGGAAGAAACGACCATGCTGGGTCTAGGTCCAGTCTAGTTAAGAAGACATCGAAATGCGCCCTCCTCACCCACGCATGTCAAGGTTGATGGGGAATCGGTGGATGAGCCCCTCGAAGAAGTGGGTGTTTACCTCGCAACACTTCGTGTTTCCTTCCGACGCGGCCGTCCGCCAGCTTGGAGGTATGGTGTGTCGGTGGGCCCTCTCGGTACTTCGATTGGTGAGCGTTTAATTGAAGGGTTCGCCCTCTGCCGCTGGTTCCCCCTCAGGTTAGCTGCATGGCAACGCTTGGCTTGTAGTTTGGTTTGTTTTCTTATCGGTTGGCTGGCTGGCAACTCCTTTGATTTATTCGTTGTATAACTTAACGGTCGGCAGCTGATTCGACTCGTTGCTGGCTGGCTGGCTGCGCGCGTCTGTGATAATTACTGAGGGTTGGCGGCCTCGGCAGCGCACTTCCACTGTCATCTACGGCTTCGAGAGCGCGATCCCAGGACTATTTTCTAGGGGCTTTGGCCTCGGATCCAGAACCGAATTCTGAAGAAACCACGCGGGTCCGAAAAGCGCCCACCGAGCCCATGTTCCAATACAGAACGTGCTAGTTTTCTGCTCTGGGGAAAGGGGTGGCCATTTTGGGCAACTTCCGCGGGGTAGGTGCGTGGCCCAGGGAACGCGAACGCGCCGTGATTTGCCAACGATTGTGGCCTTTGTAGTTTACCATGGGCTGTGGCCTCGGGGGCGCAAATCCGGTGCAAAGTATCGAAAGGGTTTTGGCTCTGGGGACGCGAACGCATTGTGCTCTACAAGAGATTCTGGTCCGGGCGCTCGAACACGTTTGTACTGTGTATCGCATTGTTGCTTCGGTAGCGTGCGTGCGTCGCTTTTTTGGGAGGGGATGGGGCGCGGGTTTGCTCGGAGCGCTGCGTAGGTTGAAATTTGCAAGGGACTGTGGCTCCAGAGGCGCAGTTTCGTTATTGTTCGCAGGGGATTGTTGCCGCGGGGGTGCGAGCGCGCCGTAACTTGCAATGGATTGTGGCCTCGGAAGCGATAACTTTTTGTAGTGCACGCAGGATTCTGGTCTCGGGAGCGCGAAGTTGGCGTAATTCCCAAGTTGGGTTTTGCCCAGGTCTTTGGAGAACCGATGGGTTCGAGGCGCGGTCATCGCCAGGGTCCTCAGGGTTCCTTGGTTTTGTTTCCGTATGGTGGGGGGCCCCGGTGGTCCTTGTGTTTGAAGTTGTGTTTCCTTATGATGCGTTGGCCAGGTTCCTTGGTCTTGGTTCACTGGTTCACCGGTCTTCGTTCCTCGATTCCTTCCTCTTCGTGGTTTGCTTGCTTGGTCCTGATTAATTCCCTAGTTTCGGTTCCTTGGTTCCTTGGTCATGGTCCCTTGGTTTCTCGGTCTTTGGGCCCGTGGTTTGGGCTCGTTGGTGTTGGTTCCTTGCTGCCATGCCACGCAATGTAACGCAATGTCAAGCAATACGAAGCAACGCCACGCAATGCCAAGCAACGCCATGAAATGACACGACATGCCAAGTAATGCCACGTAACTGCAAACGATGCCAAGCAATGCGAAGCCATTTGCAAATCAAGCCAAGTCCTGCCACGAAGTGTGCCCATGCAGTAGGAAGTTTTCTCTGATCGGGGTCAAGCCGGGTTACTTTACTAGGGATTGTGATTTTGCGAGCGCGAATGTGTTGTATTCTCATGTGTCCCAGGACCCCCCCAGAAGTTCAGGCAACGTGATTCCAGGGTGGTAAGCGGGCACTTTTCGGCTCCCCCCCTCGCGCTCAATTTAATCATTAGAAAAGACTCAGAACACATATTCCTTACGACACTACGACAACATCTGTAACGGTGGCAGCGAACAGGAGGACCTAAGCCTCGAAGCCTGTTGGCCCCCAAGGGGGCAGTCGGATTTCGGGAACGACGGTAGGGAATGGGGAAAGCAGCGAAGACGCCCAAAGACCTCGATCCTCGGTCCAGCCTCGAGCGGCAGCTGTCAGAGGACCCCTCCCCAGGGATCCTGCGCTGCGAAAGGAAGAACTTACGACCCGAGCCCTCGACCCCATCTCTAACGCGGCGCCTCTCGAGGCGGATCGAGCCGCGAGGGCCCTGGGGCCAGGAACCGGGCGAGAGATGCATAGGGGCCCGATTACCCCGCCCCTCCCAGGATCGTGCAGTTGCGCTATCGGGGGTATCGTCCATTCCAGCTCGATGTTTCCCCCCCTGAGCCAGTTCTCCCGCAACGTTCCCCCCTCCTTGGTCCGAAAAACACTTGCGGCGGTCAGATCTGAGGGTCAGCCTCCTCGAATTCCGAGGAAGCCAGCTTTCGAGCCATGACTCCCTGCGGCGGCCCATCGGAACGGTCTGGGCACCCCAGGGACGATATTCTTCCCGGATCCATGTTCGATTGCCCCAGGGCCAGGGCCCGAAACGGCCCCTCAGAGGCCGAAATCTATGAAAAATGCCAGCGTTGACAAATTCAGTCCTTCGGAGGTTTCTGGGTCCGACCCCAATGTTTGCCGGCACGCACGGGGGATGAGGGGGACGGCCTTCTGATACTTAGTGCGGGGGGCTTCCTCTGCATGGCCCCTGGAGGCTTCGATAGTCGGGAGCGGCAAAGAGGGGTGATGACTAGGGGGGGTGGATATCATGGCAGGAGCCATGATATTTCCCCAGATTTCATGGCGCCTCTTCTCATTTCCTTACGTCCCTGGCCCCCCCTCGGGCCGCGCACATGCCGCCGACCATGATTTGCACCCCCCCTCTTGGACGCCCCCCTCTTGGCCGCCCCCGAGATAGGAGAAGGCTTCTCAGAAGCAGGGAGGGCCTCCGAGCAGCCCCCCTGCCCTGTGGGAGGCCGCCCCGGGCTTCTCAGAAGGCCGCGCCCCCTTCGCGCCACTCTGGCGCGCGCCCGCCGAGGTGGGCTCGGCCGGGGCCTCTCTCGGGCCTCCGGGCGCACTCTTTCGCCGCCGCGGCTGCGACTCCCCCCCGGCATTTTGGTCGGAACGCACGCTGGGAGAAGCCCAGGGCTCGAGTGTTCACGGCCCTACACCACCGAGTGGCTGTCATGGAGACGGTGCGCGGCGGGTCGCGGCAGGCTGGGCCGAAACGCCGAGCGCACGAGGGGGAACGCACAAATTCCACCAAGTGGGGAACTGGCGTAAGGCGCAGTGAAAAGGCACCGAGAGCCAACCACATGCACACGCGAGGACAGCGCCTTCACCTCTTCGCCGCGACACTGTGTCGTGAGCCTGCGCCGTGCTCTGGTGGTGTGTAGAGGAAGAAGCACAAACGTCAAGGGCTCGGGTTTGATATTTGATGTCCCTCGCCCCCCACCCCCCCGAGATCCGACGTCGCGAAAAACCTGAAACGTCGTCAGGCATCTCGTCCGGAGCTTCAGACCACATTTCTGTGAGGCATTTCTCGAGCCAGATCGATCCTTCAGGGCCCCGTGGCCTTAGAACATGGACGAACTCGCCACGGCCGCAGAAAGATTGCGACGTCCCAGAAGAGCAGTGCAGAAGGGTATCTAAGCGAGATGTTTGTTGTGGCAAGCTCCGCCGACGGTGGCATGTCCACGAACCCCTTTACGCGCTGCTCAGGTGCGAGCGAGCCGCCAAAGGACTTGAGCCGACAACCTGGGCAGCGTTTAGAGCTGTTCGTCGCCCTGCAACCGTCGGCGGAGCTTGCCACCAGCAACACATTGCCCAGGCCCCCTCCTGCACCAGAATCCCAGGGCCGTTCGATCCCACCCTCGCACGGCCCCGGCAGACCCCTTCGCCCCGACCGCCAGGCTGGCGGGGGCGGGCCCGTCGGGGCGGGAGGCGCCACAGCCGCAGCGCTCTGCCGCGCCGCCCCTGCGGCAGGGCTGTACTCCCTTCTTGGGGAGGCCTGGGCCCCGGGGGTCGCGAAGGATCGATGGGGGATCGAGGATCGAGGGAAGGCCCAGGGGGATCGCGGAGGACCGAAGGGGATCGAGGATCGAGGATCGCGGAGGATCGAGAATATCGAGGAGGATTTCGAGAAGGACCGAGGATAGTCGAGGGGGATCGAGGATCGAGCGGGTTCGAGGGCGGCGGCCCGCTGGGCTGGCCCTTGCCACCGCAGCCGCGGCTGCGGAGAGCCTTGGATGGTAACCATGGTAGGTCTTGAATGCCTCCTAGCCGCAGCCCCTGACCCAGACCGAGGGGAAAGCAAACCTGCGATGGTCGCTCCCAGCCGTCTTCGCATTGCCTGGGCGGCGGGCGCGTGTCAGGCCACGGCGCAATGCAGACAGGAGGAAGAGGAGGAAGAGAGACAAAGAAGAACGACAGGAGGGACCCGCCAACGACGAACGACGACGAGGAGGCAAACAAGGCACCCGCCAACGGCATCTTAGGGGTCGCCCCGGGGTGCCCCGGACGGCCATTCCCAGACCCTCGCGTCGTGTCAGCAAAGTAGCGACGCGAAGTTCTTTTGACGTGTTCGGTCCGCACGGGCCCCAGGACGATCAACAATCGCAGGACCACGTCACGACAAAATCACGACGTCGGGAGTCTGCGTTGTAGGCGGCACGGGGAGGGTCCGACAGATTCAATGCGAGACTGCGGAAGGTTGGAGTTTCGCGTAGTTGTACGCCGACACTTGGCGAGAACCATCCCGAGCCCAGAGAAGTGAGCACACACAGGGTTTCCGCGGTTCAGTTGGTTCGGCCGCGCCGCAATCGGTCGCGTTCGGTCGGCTCGGTTCGGTCGGCTGCCGTGCAGTTGCTGCGTCGCGGCGCCCTTCTTGACTGGTTGCGGCACGTTCCCATTCATCCTCCGATCATTTTTTTTTCAATCCACGGTCCAGAGGTCCCGACCCCTTCCCCAGGGGTAGTTTATCGTCAGGGATACATTCTTCATGGTTCCTGGACCCAGTAGTCGGTCTGGGAGACCGAGGTCGAGGAAAAATGCCCAGAATGAAAAAGTCATGCCTTCGAAGATTTGGGTTAGTTTCGGTCGGTTTCGGTTTCGTAGCGGGCTCGGTTGGTTTCTGGCTGCACTGCCGCCATTTTCCCCGCCCCCCTCCCCGCAGCCGAGCAGGAGGCCAAGGAGGGTCGCTTCCCGCTGCGCGGGCGCGGGCGTACCACACTTTACCCGCGGGGGGGCGCGAAAGGTGGGGTCGCTGGCGGCGCGCACACGGGGGGGGGTCGCGAAGGGTAGGAACAGGCAAACCCAGACCCCCTGGCGTTAAACAAAACAAACAAATCCGACGGACTTGTTTGTGCTGATTTCGGCTTCTGGGGGCCCTGACCAGGACTCGGAACCTTCATTTCGGATGAAAGCCGGTCCCAGGGAAACGGTCCAGGTCTCTGGAGGTCACCTTTTTGAACATATCGCGACGTCAAGGGTCTGAGATCGGACGGGGCTACGACGAGGGTAAATCCGCTCCCGAGCGCTACGGAACGCCATTTAGAGCGTTCCGGAACGCTCTGAGAAGGCCGCGGCGCCCGAGACATCCTCAAGAGCCGCCGGATCTCAGAGATCGTCAATGTATCTTCACCCGATGTTATCCTCCTGGCTTCGTCTGAATTGATGGGCTCGTTTTCCATTGCCACTACCATAAGTTAGAGGGAAAGGGAAGGAGGGAGAGAAGGAGGGGGAGGACGAGGAGGAGCAAGAGGAGGAGGAGAGGAGGGAGGAGGGAGGAGGGAGGAGGGAGGAGGAGGAGGAGGAGGAGGAGGAGGAGGAGGAGGACCCCCTCCCCCCTCCTGCTTATGGTAGTGGTAGTGGAAAACCAGCCCATCGTCTCATGGGAAGGTGGCCGCACGACCACCACCAGCGCGAGGCGCCAGGATGCAGGGAGGGTCCTCCTGGCGGCGTGGCCCCGTCCTCTCGCTCGAGAAGCCCCACGTCTCCAGCTCGGGAAGGCATCGGGGAGGCGGGAGAACGAGGAGGACAAGGAGATGAGGATAGCCACTGCGGCTACCCCCAGGCGGCTTTTACACAGCGGAGGCACGCCATCTCTGTTTATCTCCCAGTTTCACCTCTTTGTTCACCTCGTCTCTTAGTGATCTGATGCTCTCTACTCCGGTTCGTTTTTTTCCCTACCTAGGCTCTGTCTAGAAGGGTTCTTACTCTCTAGCTTAAAGGGGCCGGGCAATGGAAACCGTCCCGGGCGGTTCCCCCAGTCCCCGCCCCGCGGTTCCCCCAGTCCCTTGGGAGCTTTAGCCTTAGCTTTAGCTTTAGTTTAGTTTTAGCTTTAGCTTTAGCTTAGCTTTAGCTTAGCTTTAGCTTAGCTTTAGCTTAGTGTTAGTGTAGCTTTAGCTTAGCTTTAGCTTAGCTTCAGCTTAGTGTTAGCTTAGCTTTAGCTTAGCTTTGGCTTTGCGTTAGCTTAGCTTCAGCTTAGTGTTAGCTTAGCTTTAGCTTAGTGCTAGCGTAGCTTTAGCTTAGCGTTAGCTTAGCTCTAGCTTAGCTTTAGCTTAGCTTTAGCTTAGCTTTAGCTTAGCTTTAGCTTTAGCTTAGCTTTAGCTTAGCTTTAGCTTAGCTTTAGCTTGGCTTTAGCTTAGCTTTAGCTTAGCTTCAGTTTAGCTTCAGCTTAGCTTTAGCTTAACATTAGCTTAGTGTTAGCTTAGCCTTAGCTTAGCATTAGCTTAGCTTTAGCTTAGCTTCAGTTTAGCTTCTTAGTTTTCGCTTAGCTTCAGCTTAGCTTCAGCTTAGCTGTAGCTTAGCTTTAACTTAGCTTTAGCTTAGCTTTAGCTTAGCTTTAGCTTAGTTTTAGCTTTAGCTTAGCTTCAGCTTAGCTTTAGCTTAGCTTTAGCTTAGCTTTAGCTTAGCTTTAGCTTAGCTTTAGCTTAGCTTTAGCTTAGCCTTAGCTTAGCTTTAGCTTTCGCTTAGCTTCAGCTTAGCTTCAGTTTAGCTTTAGCTTAGCTTCAGCTTAGCTTTAGCTTAGCTCTAGCTTAGCTTTAGCTTAGCTTTAGCTTAGCTTTAGCCTCAGCTTTAGCTTAGCTTCAGCTTAGCTTCAGCTTAGCTTTAGCTTAGCTTTAGCTTAGCCTCAGCTTAGCGTTTGCTTAGCTTTAGCTTAGCTTTAGCTTAGCTTTAGCTTAGCTTTAGCTTAGCTTCAGCTTAGCTTCAGCTTAGCTTTAGCTTAGCTTTAGCTTAGCCTTAGCTTAGCTACAGCTTAGCTTTCGCTTAGCTTCAGCTTAGCTTCAGCTTAGCTTTAGCTTAGCTTTAGCTGATATTTAGCTCAGCGTTATCTTAGCTTTAGCTTAGCTTTAGCTTTAGCCTTAGCCTAGCTTTAGCTTCAGCTTTAGCTTAGCTTTAGCTTAGCTTCAGTTTAGCTTTAGTTTAGCTTTAGCTTAGCGTTAGCTTAGTGTTAGCTTTAGCTTAGCTTTAGCTTAGCTTCAGCTTAGCTTTAGCTTAGCTTCAGCTTAGCTTTAGCTTAGCTTTAGCTTAGCTTTTGCTTAGCTTTAGCTTAGCTTTAGCTTATCTTTACTGTTACTACTAATACTGCTTTCCTAGGGGCTCCAACTCCTAGGTAGGGTCGCACTGGGATAATTCTTTTATTTTTTCCCAAATGAGCCCCCCCTCCCCCCCAGGTCTTGGCCGCGTGGGAGGGGCAGGAAAGGTGTGCGTGGCCACAGGATCACCCTCGATCGCCACGAGCAGCAGCAGATGAGGATGGGCAGGTGGAGGAGGAATCGAAGGAGCAAGATGAGCAGGAAGAGGAAGAGGAGGTTGAGGGTGAGGGTGAGGGCAGACCCCTTCGCTGGAGGTGGCCCCCCCTGATGGCGATGGTGGTGTTGTCGCCCCTCCTTCCTCCGAAGGGGGGCGGCCCAGGGCGGCGTTCTGAGAAGGCGGGGGGGGGGCTTCTTGGGAGGCATGTCCTTCTTTGGGGGGTTCTGACAAGGCGGCGGGGGGGTTTCTTGGGAGGCATGTCCTTCTTTGGGAGGGCCTTTGGAGGTTTCCATAGAAGAAGGCTCCTCAGAAGCCGGGAGGGCTTCCAAGAGATCTTCGCTTTCCGGGAGGCCTTCCAGCCTTCTCAGAAGGTCGCCCCCCCGCTCCCCCCCCCCTCCCCCCTTGTGCGCACCGCCAAGCTCGAGGACCGAGCTTCGAGGATCCACCTTCGAGACATCGAGGCTTTCTATTGTGCATGTTCCGGCGTCTCTCGGGCCTTCGACGTCTTTTTCGTTGCCATGGCTGCGATTCCCCTCCGAGATTCTGGTTGGACCGAACACCCTGGACAAGTCAAGGGCTCGAGTTTGCACCTCTTGACCCTGGCCCCCCCTCCCCAGACGTCTGGTGGACTGATGGTTTCAGTCTTGGCTTGTCTCCATAATCTCGCCCTCCGGGGCTTTGCGTGCTGCGGGGCAAGAAAAATGAAGTGCCAGAAGTCACGGTAGTGATTAATTTCAAGATTTGCCAGGTTCCCTATTGTATCGCACAGCATACCCCGAGGCCCCGGAGAAGAAATTGGCGAAGATGGAAGCAACGTTGACATAATGAATGGGCGATGACGATGAACGTGAGGCGCCAATGCCGGGCTGGGCACGAATGCTGAAGAATAAAATGGATGGGATACAGAGAGCAATGGATGGGATGACAGATAAAGTAGAAACGGCGGTGGCAGAGGCAGCTGAGGCCAAGGCAGAGGCGAAGCAGACGTCACTCGCCGTCAAGGGCCTTGAGGAGAACACGGTCACGAAACAGGAATTGCCGGAGCTGGTCAAGGGCTCTTGCAGGAGGATCCAACGATTGCCGCCGGCGTGCAAGTTGCGGGCGACCCAGAGCCTGTCATCGTTGGTGGCTTGAGGGGTGCAGGCGCAGTGGAGGAGGCGGAGCGGTGGGTGAACAACGCGCTCAGGACCGCAGGCCTGCCATGCCAAATCGACCCATACATCAAGAGCGAGAATTTCCATAATCTCATGTTTGCACGGCTTCCTTCAAGGAAGACTGCTGACGCGGCAGTCGAATTTTCGGCGGAAACAGTCTACATTCAAGGACGCCATCGTTTGGTGCAATCTTGACCGCCCCCTGCATGTACGTATCTCCCTCAAGCTCCTTCCCAAGCGCAGGAAAATCTCAGGTGGTAGGGGGTTCCACAAACGCAACATCGAGATCGATGAGGAGAACGCCGTTTTAAAATTGGATGAAACGATTGTTGCCGAAATGCAAGTGCACGGGGGAGTTTTGGCGGTCGAACGGCCGAGCACGGAGTGGAAGGACTGGAAGGAGTTGCTGGACTCGCAGGAGCTCAAGGGCTTGATCCTGCAATGCCAGGCCGACTTTGCATCAGCGTACATGGAGCAGCGCAGAGGCTGGGCAAAGGGAAGCTCCAGCCAGCCTGACAATCATAAGCAACCCCAAGGAGCTGGGAACATGGGGCCGGCATGCATACGAACTCGGGGACTCTGAGTACGGGCGGCGGATTCGGACATTATGTTCGAGCGGATGGCGATATCTCTTCATGTTTACAACGCGCGGGCTCCGGCCGGGAGGGGGGCAGACTACGCTTGCGTGGTCTGGAGAACCCGAGTGGCAACGTGGCAGCGCCCAGGGGATCCATGCAGAGCAATACCAGTATATGTCATAATTCTCACATACAATGCACATTGTATGATGTTGATTGACGATCGTTTGGAACGAAGTTTACTTGAACTTGGGGGTCAGAGCTTGGATATCATTGCGTTCGCAGAGCATGTAGGGATGACCGGAAAGAAGCATGGGGTACGACACGTGGGCAACGCTGGTTTGGGAGCGCGGGGGCGTCTCGCAGTGCTGGTGTAGGCTGTCTGTTACATCGACGGTGGAACCGCGTGATGTTCAACGCCGTTTCGAACCGCATTGCGATTTTAGATGTATGCATGCTATCTCTGTTTCGAGTTCGCTTCGTAGCTGTGTACATGCCACGCGCTGCACATAATGATGATGAGGGGGGCGCTATATATGATAAGATTCGTAGGGGACGCTGGGATGCGCAGAGGAAGGGTTCTAATATCGCTCTTGCTGGAGATTTTAACGCAGAGATCGGCGCAAGACGGGAGGGCGACGACGGCCGAGTGATTGGCAACAATTGTATGGTTGATAGAACAGAGCGGGTTTCGGTATTATTACACACATGCTCGATGGACGAGCTCTCCATTGCCAATTCTTTCTTTTCCGACAGCTTCGAGACATCATGGACGTACCGCAATGGGGAAAGACGCCCTCAATGTGACTATCTGTTTTTGGACAGACGGTTGTTTTCTTTGACGCGACATTCCTTTGCTGTTGCCGATGTTGACATTGGTTCGGATCGTCGGCCCGTGTTCGCGGTGATCTCTGTCCCAGACGTCGCTCCGCGGAGGCAGCGTGCGAAACGATTGTAATTGTCATGTTGCAACGGTTGGAAACGCGCGAATCGATTCGCAAACCTCTGTCCCAGACGACGGTCTTTGGTAACAATGCAGCGCAGCAGAGCGCATTGTCAATTTGAATTGTTGCCTGGCCAAGGTAGCTATTGAGGACGAGGAGCAGAGCCTGGACGTTGATGAAGTGCCTGCTCCAAGCGACGCCAATTCCAAAATCCGTTACCTCATCGGTGCTCGGCGGGCCACTGCGCAGTCGGATCTGCCACAGACGGAAAAGAAAGCCTGGAGAATTAGCAGCGGAAAGAGGATGCAGACGTTGATTCGCCATCGCCAGGTCTGGAGCATACTGAACAAATCGATGAGATTTCTGTTCATGTACGCGATGTCAAGCAGATTTCCCAGATGACGAACGGGCGTCGGAAGTCCCGCATCACCGAGATGAAAGACAAAGCTGGCCAACGCAGTTTTTGCGCAATTCTACGAAGAGCTTCGCGCGAGCACCCGGCCAGAGCACTCGCATAATACATATTCCTTCGCGGGTGACAATCGAGCGCCGCTGTTCACCATGGAGGAACTTACAGAAGCGATGCGCCTATTGAAGCTCCACAAAGCCGCTGGCGACAATGGAGTGAGCGCAGAGCTGATTAAGATTGACTCTGCGGTCTTGCGGGATCTGCTGCTGGGCGCGTTCAACGAGATCCTGAGTCCATCTGCAGCCGCGCCGACTGGCTGGCTCCGGGCTCGCATCGCAGCGCCTTGCAAGAAGGGGGGCTCCTCTTCACCTTCGAAGCATCGTCCCATCGCAATCTCAGAGATCTCACGCAAACTGTCCAGCCGAATGCCGCGTTGGAGGCTGGGGCCCACCATCGCGAGAGAGCGGTCCGCAGACCAGGCTGCATGCCGGATAGGATATGGGACCATAGACCACATGTTGACAACAACGTCATTCGTGGAGGCGCGCCGCGAGTTCAAGGCCGGTTGTTCCTGAGAAGGCTTTCGACACGTCGAGCGCGAGGGCCTGCGGGAAGCGCTGGCAGACCAGAGCGTGGGACATGAATATATCAACATGCTCAAACGATTGCATGCTGAACAGTCGGCGTGCGCCACGGCAGGCACCAACAGCATAATGTTTGACATCCTTCGCGGCGCCAAGCAAGGCGATCCTATTGGTTCTGTATTATATGCCGTCGTCATGGAAGCAGTTTTCCGGAAGCTGAAAAGCGCTGGGCTAGCCTGAAACGCGAGCGTTTTGGATCGTCTTACGGCGTGGTCATTGACAGCCCGGGCGACCCGTTCACGAATCTCAGATTTGCTGACGATGCGTTTTCGGCGGCATCCTCTGCAAGAGACTCGTCACGAATGCTTGTTGTTCTGGAGACGGAAGCGCGCAGAGATGGTCTCAGACTGCATATGGATAAAAACAATAATTCTGACGAGCGTCGACAACGGGCCGGCCGCTCTGCGGGGCGGGGGCAATCATGTGCGAGCGCTTCAACGCGGTCCGACTGAGAACTACTCGGGGCGCCAGTTTTCTTTGAATTCTGATCGTGAGACGGAGTTGCAGTACAGGATTGGGCGCGGTTGGGCAGCGCTCGCAAAGCACATGTCCGCGTTCTGCAACCAGCGCATCATGATGCAGCACCGCACGCGGCTGTTCCAAGCAATCGCTGCGCCGCGTGCGATGCATGGCTCTGGCGCATGGGCGCTCGCATCGAAGCAGCGGCGACAACTGCGACGGATGCTCAGAATGATTATTTGTGCACGGCGGCTCCCTGACGAAGATTGGATGCATTTTAGCAAACTTTTCTACGTCTGCAGCGGTGGGCGTTGCTCATGAATGTGGCGCGCGCGATTTGGTTGATGATTTTCAAGATGCCAAGCGCGTCTCCACGATAAGATGCAACCGGCCTCTGGCGGGCGGTGGGGGGCGAGGCTACTGGACTGGCACCCGTGGCGCCGCGCGCATGCCCGGCGACACGTTGGAAGGCAGCGGAAGCGTTGGCAAGACACCTGAGAGCACAAGTGAGGGTTGCGCGCGGCCCGGCGTTTTGCTGGGGCAGACTCTTCTGCCCCACGGGCCCTCTCTCTCTATTGTATCGCGCAGGTTCCAGCAACGGGGGCCGGTAGATACTCTTGCCATTATTGAACGTGTTTTGCGCCAATCCTATCATGTCATCGTTCTCGTCCTTATGCGACCTGAATTTGGAATGCAAAACTCGGGCGAAGAGAAGCATGCACATTCGCCGATCCAGTCCAGGCCCATCCTACTAAGCGCAGAATCGTTGCATGCGCCTCCCTGGCCATAATGGGAAAGCGTATGCACCGATCCATTGCTGAGGATGGTTCTGACCAGAATCGGTACATGCGCAGGCTTCCCTTCCTTCTGAGGATTGCCTCTGGGGAAGTGGGCGGGGTGCTTTGGTGCCCGATTTCCAACGCCATATACAAGAGTCGAGACGTGCCTGCTCTCCCCAGCTTTCGGCCTCCAGGAGCAGCCTTCGGCTCCGGGACCTTCCAAACACGCGACTCCAGTTAAAAAACTGGCCTTCGAGACGGGGTCGGGACTTCGGTTAATTCGATAATCGCATGGTCGCACCTCTGGCGCCCACCGGCGCTGGGAAGGCCATCTGCCATCCAGCGGATCCGGTCCACTTCATGACCCTTTTCTGTCAGGATCCATGATAATTTAATCCGAACGATGCGAATTGATTCGGTATATATATATATATGTAGACAGGTTTGCACACCTATATAGATAGCTACACACAGATTTACGCATCGCTTCAATTACATGTATGCACCAGGCTTGAAGATTCGATTCGCTTCGCCTCAAGTCTTGGTCCTGCATCCAGGCGTTGCTGGGCGGCTACCAAAGCATCTGACGGAGCGGGCAGGTAATGACCAGGACAGGTTGCGGGCCATGGGCCTGGTGGAACCCATAGGCATGTGCACGACGTGGGGTAAGGGCAGGACTGCGACGGGGGCCATGGTGAAGACCTCGATACCTGACCCCAACAGGGGCGAAGGTTATGCCGTCGAGGGGGTGTACGCCGTGACCGCCAGTGGAACGAAGGTCATGTCAAAGCTGGGCCTAGGCAGTGGTTCCGAAATCTATGACTGGGATCGAAGAGCGATCATATGACCTTGAGAGGACGATCGCATGATCCGGGAGGGGCTCCAGTCATAACCTTGATGGAAGTGCCAAGGCCATGGGATGGAGTTCGAATCGTGGCCAGGAAAAGGGACTGTCGACAATACGGTGAGGGGGTGGGTCACGGTGACGATCATGAGAGGGGGTGGTGGTGGTAACCGTGAGTGGGGTATTCGTTGGGGTATAGAGGGGGTGGGCGAACGTGATGACTGCGAGAAGGGGTCAAAGTCGTGTACGCTGAGCATTCCACAGGGTGCTGACAGAACGGCTGGGCAGGCAAAATAAATGATGCTCGTTCACTGTTCGTGGACGCGCGCGCGCCCCCGACGATCCGCCTTTGACGACTCGCTGGCCCCCAGACTTTCGATTTCTTCCCCAATGTTGTTGCGCGTTTCCGCTTGTTGGCTTCTTGGGAGTGGCCTGTCATCCCGACTCTTTGTTAACCGGTCTTGGGGTTTGTAGACGATCCCAGGACACCGGCGATTTGGAGGTGTTGTCGGCGAGTTGGTGAAGGTCACAACAAAATGGACCTGATGATTGCGACGGGGTTACGGTCGCAGTCTTGAAGCGACATTCCCGTAAATGCGAGGGGGGCCCGCGGGCGAGTTTGGGGGGAGGAGTTGAGGAGGAGGAGGAGGAGGAGGAGGAGGAGGAGGAGGAGGAGGAGGAGGAAGAGGATGAGGAAGAGGAGGAGGACAAGGAGGAGGAGGAGGAGGAGGAGAAGGAGGAACAAGGATGAGGACGAGGAGGACGAGGTGCAGGAGGAGGAGGAGGAGGAGGACCTCGACGCGGCGACGAGGAAGGGAGGTGGACGATGATGGCGGAGAAGGAACAGGATTGGGCAGGAAAGGGGGGAGCAGAGGGATGCGAGGACGGACGCGCGTTTCGTTTGGCTCTCTGGACGCCCTGTGGGGTTTTTTGGGCATCGTGGGGGCCATTTCCAGTATGATGGTGCGACGCAATTGGGTTGAAACTTGGTGAGAAGGAGGAGGAGGAGGAGGAAAAGGACGAGGAAGAGGAATAGTTGGACGACGATGCTGGTACCGATGATGCGCATGATGAAAATTAGAATGACTATGATGATAATCGTGATGATGCTGATGATTCTCATGATGGGACGCCGTCTTGTGGCCCCTTTGGGCGTCTAGGGCCCTCTTGGGCAGTCTCGGGGCCGTCTTTTATGCCGTCTTTGAGTCTTTTTCAGCCGTCTCGGGGCGATTTGGGATGCCCTTGGGTTCGTCGTGGGCCACAGGAAGGTCGAAATGGGGAGAACCTCGACATCCTTCCCGAGACCGAGGGACGTCAAATGTGTTTGCGTCTAGCAGCCCTCTTGGGGGCCTTCTTGGGAGCCTGTTGAGTCGTGCTGTGGCCACCTTGGGGCCATTTGGGAGCCGTCCTCGGGCTCTCTTGTCCTTCTTTGGAGTCGCGGCGAGGGCTCTGGGGCCTCCGCGGCGTCCACAGGGAAGGTCCGGGCAACCGTCGCAAAGGTGCCCCGGGGCGAGGGGGGGCATCCCAATGGGGTCTTTGGATTCTCAGTGTGTGCGCGTGTGTTTTTGTGTGTTTATGTGTCTGTGTGTGTATGTGTGCGTGTGGGTGTGGGTGTGGGTGCGGGTGTGGGTGTGAGAGTGGGTGTGGGTGTGGGCGTGGGTGTGTGCGTTTGCGGGCGCGTGTGCGTGTGCGTGCGCGTGTGCGTGCGCGTCTGCATGTGCGTGTGCGTGTGCGTGTGCGTGCGCGTGCGCGTGCGCGTGCGCGTCCGCGTGTGCGCGTGCGTGCGTGCGCGCGTGCGCGCGTGTGCGCGTGCGCGCGTGTACGCGTGCGCGCGTGTGCGCGTGTGCGCGTGTGCGCGTGTGCGCGTGTGCGCGTGTGCGCGTGTGCTCTTGTGCGCGTGTGCGCGTGTGCGCATGTGCGCGTGTGCGCGTGTGCGCGTGTGCGCGTGTGCGCGTGCGCGCGTGCGCGCGTGCGCGCGTGTGCGCGTGTGCGCGTGTGCGTGTGCGTGTGCATGTGCGTGTGCATGTGCGTTTGCGTGCGCGTGTGCGTGTTCGTGTGCGCGTGCGTATGCGTGTGCGTGTGCGCGTGTGCGTGTGCGTCTGCGTGTGCGTGTGCGTTTGCGTGTGTGCGGCCGTTCTTTTTTTCAGCGATCTAGATTTCGGCCGACCCGATCCGATCCGATTTTGCGATTCCGACGGTCGATGCGGCCGGTGCTCGCATGGCGGTTTTGTGCATCCTGTTGCGGCCGATCCGATTCGACTTAATGTCCATGCCAATGCAGCATCCGACGCACGTTCTGATTGTATCCGGTTTCCCGGTTTGATGCTGACTGATCTTGCCTTTCCTCCACCCTGAGCTTCCCGGCCCCAGCTGCCACAGCCGCGACCCCCCCCGCGATGGCGCAGCCGGCCCCCGCCTCAGCATGTCCACGCTGCGCGCCGCGCGCGCGCGAGGAGTTGAGGATGGCTCAGGACTGAAACAAAGACGAAATGACGCGTGCAAGAATTCTCATGTGCTTCGAGCGCGCGCATCGCGAGCGCTCGTGACATAGAGGAGGGCCTCGCAATCTGGGGGGCATACTCCTGTACGTGGTTTGGCGCGCACTTCGCTTTGGGGCTCCCCACCACGGCTCGAGGATCGAGGGTAAAAAATCAAGGCTGTTGGCGGGACGCTCCTGGGCACGGCGACGCCCAGATACCTAGACTCTTCTCTAACGACGGATTTTGTTCAATACGCGGCGAGCTCCCAACTTCTTCCTCGGGGGAGGGCATTTCTCACCCCGTTAACGTTTAAGGGCTCCCAGCCCCCGAAGACGCCCCCGCGTGGATCGAGAGCCCCCAAGCGTTGCGGAGACAGCACCGTGTGGTGAGTCCGTGGAGGGTTCGTGGTGACCGCACGGTTTTGAGACTTTGGCTCTCTCCGGGGATGGCCTCCTAGGTACCAGCACGGTGCGGTGACGGACCGTGCGGAGAGGTCTCTTGGGATTTCGGGGTCACCGCACGGTCCGTCAATGCACAGGTTTGGGCTTCCCCGTTAGATGAGCAGCGACGTGACGACGAATATCACGATGCAATCGAAATAGTTGTTTCCCAGATGAGTGCTGCCTGAGTCAGCCTGACTGCCGGAGCGGTGATCGTCCCACCCTCCACCAGAACTTGATCACTTTTTTAGAGCACGGACTGATGTGGCCACGGCTCCGCGGAAGAAACCAACAGGCTATCGCAACACACTCGTTCACGTAAAACTTGTTCTTTTGAGCCCTCGAGGCTTAGATGGATCCGAGATGACGGAAAAACGCCCCGACTGAAACGGTCATTCCGCCAGAGTGCTGGGGGGCCGATCGAGGTTCGCTGCGCAGATTGGCGCCAGAGGCAGTCGACGAAGGCCCCCCGCTGGCCGCCGAGGGCAGGGGCCTCCGAAGGCGCCCGAAGGCCGCCGAGGGCCGCCGAAGGCCGCCGAGAGGCCTCCGACGGCGCCCGAAGGCCGCCGAGAGCCCCCGAAGGCCTCCGCGGAGGCGCCCGAAGGCCGCCGGTGGCCCCCGAGAGCCGCTCGACGGCCGCCCGAGGGGCCGCCCGAGGGCCGCCCGAATGCCTGGCGCGGCTGCCGAAGACCACTGAGGGCCGCCCGAGGGCAGTCCGAAGGCCGCCGGAAGTCCCGGCGCGGAGGCCGCCCGAATTCGCCGCCCGAAGTGCCGAAGTGCCGCACCCCTCGCGCGAGTGCGCCCAGGCGGGCACGGCCTTCCTCTCCGCAGTTCCCTCGGTCACAGTCGCGCCGGCGCCAGCCAGGAGGGCCCCGCTGCTGCGGCGGGCCGGCCGACGCGGCAGGGGGAGGAGGGTAGGCACGATGGGAATTTTGTTGCCCTGGACCGCCCGTTCTGAAACGCAAAACGTACCGTGTTCAAAACGTTGTGTTTGCACGCTGCTTGTTGGCTCGGCACTTGTTGGCCCACGTTTTGGCGAACGTATCGTGCCAGACCTACCGGGGGTCCATGCAAACGGGGGTCGGCCAGAGCGCTGGATCTTGCAGGATCTTGCAGAGCCAGGGGTGCACTGACTCGGGCTAGCGCGCAGGATCCCGCAGGATCCTGCCGGCTCCTGCAGGGGCCGGACTGACCCGGGTGTGCACTGCCCCGGGCCAGTGCGGCGCCCGACAAGCACTGGCGCTGGCCAGCAGGGCGGGTGGGAGCAGGGGGCGGGGGGGGCCTGCTCGTCGCCTCGGCTGGGCGCGGCTAGAAGGAGTTGTCCGTTTCGACCCCGGGAGGGGTGCCGTCGCCCCCCCTCTGTTGCCTCAAGCCCGGGCGCGCTTCGTGAAAGGCATGCGACGGAGGGGGGCGGGGTAGTTCTCGGCCTCGGGGGGGTCTTCCCAGACCCCCTCGCGTAGTGAAGACGCATCGCGACGGAGGTGGTTGGCCGTTTTCGGTCCCTGGATGCAGCCAAGGCAGGGGCGAGAGCACGGCCACATGCACCCGAGTTTTGTTTTTGCAGGGGGTCGTGGCCACCCGGACCACAACGGAGCACGATGCCCAAGTAAGATTGTGAGGGAGTCGAAGGCGAAACGGCTGCGGGACCGAACGTCCTCGGGCTCTCTGTCCCCCCCTTGTGGGGCATGTCGTTATCCTCGGCCTCGCGGGCCAGGCCCCTGGGCCATGGCCCCACGGATGCGGGGCGTCTTTTTCCGCGGATGCCCCGCGCGGGACGCATGCGACCGCGTATCGAGTCCAGACCGCGAGCGCACGGGTACGGGTATGTTTCGCCGTTCACTAGCCTTACCACCATGGAAACCGAGCGGATGGTAAACGGGGTGACCTGAATGAGGCGTGAAGAAGTGGGACCTCAAAGGGCCCTTTCTTCATCCCCACCCACCCCACCCGAGATGGGTCGGCGCGGACGGCTGCGGGGAGCCCTGGCGCGTTTTCTCACGCCTGGCGTCTGCGGCTTTCGCTCCGGGCCCTTGGGTTTGGAAGCCCAGTTATCGGGTTGGGAGGGTGAGGCTGGGAGAAATGATCAGATCATCAATGTTACCGCGCATGTACCGCGCATGTTGAAGGCGCTCATTACAGAGTCGCACCCTGTACCTTCCCAACCCCTTCCTCCCAGCGCGATGACTGCCTTTCTCATGGGTTGCGTCCCAGGTCGATCCGGCACGACAGGCATGCTGCAGAAATATTGGGTCTGAGGCTGTGGTCGTGATTTCTGGCGATGCCGCATTTTTTCGCGACGCGGGTCTCAGGAGGAAGGGCAGCGGACGGCGGCATCAAGAAGCCATGACATCCGGAAAATAGTTGTATTCCGTTAATTTCCAAAGGTTTTCTAACCTCGGACTTCTTTGCGAGAGCTTTTCGGGGATGCCCGAATCGTTCCGAATGATGGCTGCCAGAGACGCGATATGTGTCCGAAGGCCAGAACCTCTAAGCATGGGCAAAATCAAATGTGGAGGTGTTTCGCCGTTTTCGGCCTCAAAGGGTCCTCGCCAGGCCTCGGGTCAAAAACTTGCTGGTATGGAAAACCCGCCGCCCTGGGGAAAGAGTTGGCTCCTTAGGGTTCTTCGTATTGAATCCAATACACCGGATCTCTGTGTCAGGGGGCCAATGAGAACATATTACTGAGCAAGAGAGAGAGAGAGAGAGAGAGATCACAACGGGGATAGAGAGAGAGAGAGAGCGAGAGAGGGAGGAAAGAGAGAGAGAGAGAGAGAGAGAGAGAGAAAGAGGGAGGAAAGAGAGAGAGAGAGAGAGCGCAACGGGGATAGAAAGAGAGATAGAGGGAGGAAAGAAAGAGAGAGAGAGAGAGGGAGGAAAGAGAGGGAGAGAAAGAGAGAGCAGAGAGTGGCAGAGAGGGCCCGGGCTGGAAGGGGGTGGATGGGGCAGGGGATGCGGGGATGCGAGGGGGGGGGAGGGCGGAGAGGGGGGAGAAGGGGAGGCGAGGCGAGGCGGGGCCTCGAGGGGCAAGGGGTGGGGGAGGCAAGCCAGGTGCGCCAGCGTCCTGTCTGACGGCCTACCCCTCCCTCCCATCCCCTTTCGCACAGTCGCGTGTCGAACAAGGCAATGATCCCGAGAGGGTGCGCGATGCATGGCATAGCGTGGCTAAGCATGGCATCGCGTCGAGAACGCGACGAATCTCGACAACAAGGCCAGAGGGATACCAGAAATGCACATCCACGGTCTGGAAAGCGGGAAGCGCAAAATGAGATCAGGGCTGCAGTGCTAGCGCGAATGAGACGGACCGAATCCGCGGAAATGAAACCAGCCGCGGCATTTCGGCAAATGCTACAGTAGGAGCACGATTTGGAATGAACCGAGACCATTTAGCGAGGTCAGGGCTACAGCGGGAATCTGATTTGGACGGGGTGACAAACGGGAAGATGAAGCCAGCGTTGCAGCAGGAACGCCAGTCTGAAAGGACCGCACATAAACACATGAATTAGCTACTCGGCGGCACCCTGTGTCTAAATGCGCGGAGGAGGCCAGGGCACCTCACCAGCGTCATATTGGGAGAGAGGAGAGTAGTATTCATATGGTTCAATTGTACAGCGGCTGGGGGGGGGCGCGGGGAGGAGATATCATTGCCCCGTCTTCTTGTGCCAACACTACATCCCATGCCCCCCCTCGACGCGCACATGCCTCGACCATGGCGCGATATAAACCACCCTCTTCCTGCCCGCCTCTTCGACCTTCCCCTGCGGCTCGAATGAGACGAACTACATAATCACAAACTTTCGGAGGTTCAGCGGTTGTCTTGGATCGGCGCTGGACCTCCTCATCCCTGGCGGCGCCGATCCAGGGGATCCGTGCGGACCTCCGGAATGTTATGTTTAAGTCGTTTCGTGTGTTCCTCCACCGATGCCTTCGATGGCAGGAGATCCCCGTGACATTCTGCGCTGGATGGCGCGGGGATATGTGGGACATCGGTCGGAGCGGGCGGGCGGGATTTTTCAAGGGAGCGGTGCGGGGGCAAGACGGGGCAGCGGGGGGGGGAGAGCGGTGACGCAGCTAGAGGTCGGTGTGGAGTAGTTGTGCAGATGGCACGAAGGTTGAGGTCGGACCTAGCCTTGGAAGGTTACCTTGCTGTTCTTTCTGTTTGGGCTGTCCGCCTTGTTATGCTCTTCGCTTCGGGCATCTTCGTACTTGGCCGATGGCCTTCGGCAAAGCAGCTTATATTCTTGGCCCACGTTCTTGTGGCCTTGGCTCGACTGTAGCATGCATGTTCGATGAGATCGCCTTGATTTGGTCTCAAGGAACTGTGCACGAGGTCGCGCGTGTGCCGCAAAGTGGAGGCATGTACCCCAACTGAGGTGTCTGACGCAACCTGCTCGTGCCACTGGCCTTTCGCCCCGTGTGTGCCTGCCAACCGAAGCTGCACAAACGATCGGGTAGCCAGAGCATGGCCTCGCAGAAGTGCACACAGTGACCGGGTTGACCCTGACGGGGGTCCAGGGACGAGGGGGTGGTGCAATAGATGTGGTGCAATAGATTTGTGGGGTTGCAATACATTTGGGGCGTGCAATACAGTTCGGGGCGCAGATGTATTGCTGCACTTTCGCGTGCAGTACATCACTTGCACAACACGATGCAATAGAACTCTCCTGCGCAATACATTTACAATAGATTTGCCCCAGATCTATTGCACCACCCGCTTTCAGCTGGACACCCTCTCTTGGGTCACCCAAGAGTGAGCAGTCCCATGGCCTCGCTCACAACTGGGAAGCCGCCTGCGGGCGCGAGGTGGATCCCGCCGGGCGCTCTCGGCTGCGCACGCAGAGGGTGGCGCGAGATGGGCGGCGTTCCATCGAAGGCGGGGGGCTTGCGAGAAGGCATCGGGGAACAGACCATGACATACATGATGGGCCTGTTTCACACCACCACCACCACAAGTTAGAGGGGCAGGGGGTCCTGCTGCTCCTCTTCCTCCTCCTCCTCCTCCTCCTCCTCCTCCTCCTCCTCCTCCTCCTCCTCCTCCTCCTCCCCGTCCTCCTCCTCTTCCTTCCCCCCTCCAGCTTATGGTGGTGGTGGTGGTGGAAAACAGGCCCATCAACACACAGAAAGTTTCGGAGGTCTGGCCAGATTTCTCGGATGCGCTGGAGCCTCCTTGCGGCGCTTCTGGCGCTGCGCGCTCCGCGCACCAGGGAGGGGGGGATCCAGCGCCGATCCAAGAAACCTGCGCGGGCCTCCGAGAGGACATGTTTATGGCATTGTCTGTTCCTCTGGGGCCCCGCCAGCGTGGCCCCTGTGGGCAGGACGCGCTGGTCGTTGGGAGTGCACCCAGCAGAGATCTCGTGAGAAATCATCAGCGTTCATGGGCTTTTGATTTCGTTTGAGAAATCAAGGATCTGGACTGGATCCTGGGCGTTTTCCTGGAGCTCCCGTTTCGTAGAAGTTTCGTATATCTGGACCTGGAGTGCCGTTTACCAAAAATTCTTGGAATGAAGGCCGCCTTCTTAGTTTAAAACTAGCTTAGTCCTAAGCGAGGGTGTAGGTGGTTGGGGATTCATAAATCCCTATCTACTTTAGACGCCTTCCTATTCCTAGAGTCGATATGTGTTGCTGTTTTTCGTTGTTTGGGCGTCGGCCCGAAGCCAATCTACTTCATCCGCTTTTCTTCTTCATGTTTCGACCTACTTCTCCCGACCGACGGGCAATCGAAGCATCAATCGGGGGTCCCCAAACGGGGCGGTGCCCACAACGTGCGGTGAGTCGGTGGGGATTCGGGGTCACCGCACGGTTTTGGGACTCGGGTCGTTCTCCGAGGACGTCTCGGGCGACGGGGGCCTCCGGGGTCCCAAGACCATGCGGTGACGGACCGTGCGGTGAGGTCTCGGGGGATTTCGAGGTCACCGCACGGTCTGTCACCGCACCGCTTCGGGACTCCAAAATCAAAAGCGGCATAGATGGAGAATCGGCGCGGGTTTCTCGGAGATGCGCTGGGCCCCCCAGCGGCGCCTCCGACGCCGCCTCTGGCGCGCTCCACACGCCGGAGACGGGGGAGGGGGGTCCAGCGCAATCCGCGCGGACCATCGACAGTTCATGTTTATGCCGGTGCTTCTTCCTTGAAGTAAACAGCTTCGGCGGCCTGGCTTTTCCACCCCGCCAGGATCTCCCAGGCGACGATCGCTGCCCTGCGGCATCAGCACGAGGCGGGGGCGCCATCGGACGCACCGGCAGGGCGATGGCAGCAGCCGAGACCCCGTGGCGCCGTGACAGAAATATCGATGGGGAGGTTTGCACGTTTGCGGCCTCCTGGGGCCCTCACTGGGCCCCTGGACTGTCAAAAAGGATCTCGGCCAAGGGGTTCAGACCTCGAGGGGGCCATGGTGCGAGACATTTACGACGCCGGGGGTCTTGGAATACAGTCGGGCCTGGTTCGTGGGTATAAGATCTGCGAAGGGAAGGGTGCCCTCTTGTCCTGTCTATTTGGTTTCGTGTCCCAAGCAAGTCCGGAGCGCAGGTGGCATTCGGGAGATACTTGTGTCTTCTCGGGCTCCCTCTGCAATTGCTCCCGACTGCAGCTGCTGCGTAAGGACACATCGTGAGAGGGACAGAGGGTCGCAGGCGATTGTTCTCCCTCAATCCCCGGGTTCCGCCCGAAAAGTTTGGCCGCTCAGAAGAGGAGGGAAATTCCGGGATACACTTCAATGGGGCTATTCGGACGCACCCCTAATTATCGAGGATGGACGCCCCCCCATCGTATATCCTGTGGTTGAGGCTCAACCGTTGAGCCCCCAATTTCTGGTCCATTCCAAAACTTCCTAAGGCCTGAGATAGGGGTCGACACATCCCCTGTTAGAAGGGGTTGGGAACCACCGCGAGCTCACTTGTTTTCCTCTGCCATGCGGCAGATGCTAGGTGTGACCACCGTGGCGGGGCAATCGAGGATAGTGTCATTGGTTGCGCATTTCAGACCGTCGCATGCTATGAGCGCTGCCTGCTTTGCGCCTTGCTGGCTTCCCCCAACACGTAGTGAGCTCTGCTGCGCATTTGTGGGCACGGCGTGGGCGATGCACGAGTGGACCAGCATGCGCCCGCTGCCTGGTCGGAGCAGCGTTCGGTTCGTGCCGCGCTGACGCGGCGGCGGCCCCGGCGCGGGCGCTCAAGGTGGAACGCCGCCAGCGGCCCTGAGCCGGCCGATGTCGAGTCATCTGCGCTATATTCGAGCGTGCGTTCGTAGAGGGAGGCTTATCCCAAGGCGGAGCTGGGGAACGGGCCTGGCTGGATGCTCCCGTTTAACGCTCGGGAGCCTTGAAACGGGGGTCGATGCAAACGGGGGTCAGCCAGGGCGCCCGATCTTGCAGGATCCTTCAGGAACAGGGTCGCATTGACCCGGATTTGGGTGCAGGATCCTGTAGTATCTTGCAGGACTTTCGCATTGACCCGGGCTTGTGCGCAGGATCTTGCAAGATTCTGTAAGGCCTGGCTGACCCGGGTTTGGATTGACCCGGGTCAGAAGATTCCCGAAACGTGCTTCCTTTTTCCAGGGGCCGTTTGGAGCGATGTTCCCTCCAACCCCCCCTTTGCCCCAACCCCACCTCTGTGCCCCCCCGATACATGCGGCGCTCCGGAAAAAGAGGGCCTCGCCTTAAGCGCATTTTGTCTTCTGGAGGAGGCCGGCGGAAGCAAGAGAGTGGCGAGGGTCGCCGACGAAAGTAAATGTGAGACGTCAGCATTTGGGGGTTCAGGGTTTTTCGGAACCAGCCAATGTCGCGAAGCCGCGATCGTTCAAGATTAAACAATTTTTGCGTTGCCAGACACTAACTCGCAAGTCGTCACGACGCGAACCTGCCGTACCCATGTCCCTCCTGGCTCGGCTGACGGCAGATGCAGCCAGTGCCGTTTCATTGTTGTCTCAGCGAGGCCATCACAGCGCCTGTAGACTGTGTGGGGGAAATCCGGACTGGATCGGGGCGGAGTTTCGCAGCGATTGGCCTGCAGCACTGGCAGCGACGGGCGTACGACACGTGCCTGCACTGAGGGAGCGGCCATGTCAGGCATTTTTCGTGGTTGTCGTGAGCGACTTCGCATGTGGACAGCGGCTGCGTCTGCCTGTGCCTGTGCCTTCGGGCGGGGCTGCCAACGCGAGAAGCGATGCCAGGGAGCCCACCGTGGGCCACGATGGGGTCGCACAGTTGGCCCACACACGAGGAGGATGGCGAGCGTGGGGGGAGGAGGGGAGGGGCCATGTGAGGGGGAGGACGTGCTCAAGCTGACCTTCCTCGCTCATCGCCGCTTTGCCCTCGCGTCGCCACGAGCGGCGATCAGATCCATTTTATCATGTACACATGCCCTCGCGGCTTGGACACCGAGACGTGATCCCGTGGGTACATTGCGCGCGGGCCGTCCACGCAAGGCCACCCCGTGTCCGTGGGGTCGCGGCCGGGGAGTCCAGACCGCGAGCCCGTGGACATGCTGTGCTTCCCGCCCGCGACTTCGCTCTCCGTGGGAGGGGGGCCCAGCGCCGATCTGAAAAATCCGTGCGGACCTCCGAAAAATTATGATTACGCCGCTTCTTGTTCCCCTAGACCGGCTGCGCGAGGGCAAGAGGGTGTATGTCGAGCCGAACCTGTGCTCACCCGTGTGCGCCCTCTTGGGCCGTCTTGGGCGCTTCTTGGGCCGTCTTGGAGCCCTTTGGGGACGTCTTGGCAGCCGCTTGGGCCGTCTTGGAGCGATCTTGGGGGCCTCTTGGGCTGTCTTGGAGCGTCGGGGAGCCGAAAAGCCGAGAATGTCCAAATCTTTCAAGAACCAAAAGGAACTACACGATCTTCCCCTCTTGGGCCCATCTTCGGAATCCTTTTGGAGGCCTCTTGCTGCGTCTTGGCGGCCTCTCGGACCATCAGGGGGCTATCTTGAGCGTCTTGGGGCGTTCTTTCGGCGTCTCGGGGCCCTCTTGGACCGTCGTGAGGGCCCCGTGGAGCCCTGTTGGCCCGTCCTGAGGCACTTTGCAGCCGAACAGGTCATACGAGAAAGATGCCGGGAACCCCAGGGAGCACGCGAGAAGCCCAGACAGATGTGGCAAATTTGGGCCTATGTCTTTAAGAGACTCCTCAGAAGTGAGGGCTGAGGCTTAGTGGATGAGGGGCAGGACCTCAGGGCACGCCCACTCCGTGCCCAGAGGCACGGTGGCGGATAATTTCAAGCGCAGACCTCATAAGTGTGCTGTTTCGTAGTGGGAGAAGACTTCTGTTGTTCAAGGAGCCATGTTTCAGCCGTTTCCTTAGATTTGTCAACAAGAGAATCGGAAACTATTGATTGAATCGTTCCCGCCCCAGTTAGTTTTCAATCGTCAGCTCGAATTAAGTGCATGCGTTGGTTAGGGAAAAGCGGCATGGCCGTAAACTAGTGGAGCTGCGCGCGGATTTCTTGAATCGACGCTGAACCCTTGGCGGCGCCCTGTCGCGCACCCTGCACCAGGGAGGAGGGCCCAGCGCCGATCCAAGAAAATCTGCGCGGAGAGACGGAATTGTTTGGTTATGCTGTTTTCTCTGCGTACTTCAAGGGCTTGGGGAGCTTTCTTGTAAGAATAATCTGGGTGTTGCTAGAAGTGGTCCTGTCCTGGGATGCTATCGTTTTTTCGCGCAATTCTGGGGCCTCTCAGGGGCCTTGGGGGCCTCGTGAGACGTGCCATGGAAGCCGTCTGCGCACCCGTAAAGCTGGGGTCACCTGGTCACCTTGGGACAGGGCCACTTCTGACAGCACCTGGTCATTGGCCGCCATTTCACTTTAGCGTGCCTGAGTGGTGCTTTTACTCTTTTCGCCTCGCGTTCGGCCAGGTTCTGGCCGAGTGGCGCGGTATGCGCGCGAGCCGGTTTCGACGACGCGAACTCTCATTTTCCCCGCTTGCCAGAGCCCCCGAAATCCGTCGGTTCGACCTTTCGATGCGTGTGCCCCCGAACCTCTCGACCCCTTCCCAAGGGGCAGGTGCTTTATCCCGAGCCGTCTTTTGCCGGTTCCGAGGCCCGAAACTCGCCTCCACGGGGCCAGAAGTCGCGACAAGCCGATCCCTTGAGGCGCCAGATGTCTGGGACTGCTGCGCCGCCGCCATCGATTCATGAGTCCGAGCCCGTCGAGGCAGTAGAAATCGGGCCTCCAGCGGCCGTTCGGGACGATTCGGGCACCCCCGGAATGCCCTCGGCGCGGCGCAGCTGCTAGCAGGCATCCCGGGGCGGGAAAGCTTTCAACGGCCAACGAAACTTGCGAAAACCGCTGCAAGCATTGTTGTTCTCCTTACGTTGGAGGTCGGAGCCTCGATCTTCGATCTTCGCCTCCCTCGGACCCATCTCCGGGCACCCTCCCCGCCAGCCCCCCGAGCCAAGCCCGACCAGGTGCTGCGAGGACGTGTTTTGGGAATGCGATGAAAAAGCTCCGAAACGTCGTCGTCGTCGCCGCCGCCGTCGTCGAGGTCGTCGTCCTCGTCCTCGTCCTCGTCCTGGTTGTCGTCCTGATCGTCGTCGCCGCCGCCGCCGCCGCCGTCGTCGTCGTCGTCGTCGTCGTCGTCGTCGTCGTCGTCGTCGTCGTCGTTGTCGTCGTCGTCGTGCTCGTCCTCGTCCTCGTCCTCGTCCTCGTCTTCCTCGTCGTCCTCGTCGTCCTCGTCGTCGTCGTCGTCGTCGTAGTCGTCGTCGTCGTCAGCTTCATCTTCACCCTCGTTGACATACTTGTCGTCGTCCTCGTCGACGCGGCCGTCCCGAGAGATCGAATGAGTTTTGTGCTTGAACACGAGGTCTCAGAAAGTATCGGCTCTTTCCCCAGGGCCGCTGTCTCATGCGAGGGCCCCGCCGGCAGGAAGCGTTGGAAGATGTCCCGTCGTGCTTTCCAGTACGTTGGATGATGCTTGGCTTTCAGGCCATACCTCGGCCTTCGGCGGCCTTTCGGGATGCGGGCACCCCCCGAACGGGCTCGGCGAGGGGCGGTTACTGGCAAGCATCCCGAGGCGAGAAAACGTCCAACGATTTACGAAAACCAGCAAAACCCTGGCAGGGTCCCGTGCAAAAGCCAAAACACAACGTGCGATCCTCTCGGCAAGATGATCGACGAATCCCAGTACTTGTCATGTCATCCGGGTGCAACACATGCATCGACGTGCTTTCGTCGTCCAGTCTGGCCATCTAAACTCGGGCCGGACGACATCGGGGGGATTGCAAAAGGGGAGGGGCACGACAACTGCTGCATACAGCTGGTACGCCAGGCGGTTTCCTCTATACATTGGCGCCTCTGGCGCCAGGAGGCGCTGGGAAAGCCAGTTAATTGAGCTGATTCGCGAACCTTCATTTGATATCCCCCCTTCTGTCGGCCCTGCTAAGGTCACTAGCCTCGAGCGTGTCCCTGCAGGCGGACAGGGCGCGTTGGAAATGGTAGTGTGGATATGCACACTGCGTATCGACCTCCAGTCGCCCAGTGATCGCCGATAGTGGCCCGATAGCCCCGACCCGCCCAGGACCATGCTATCGGCCAGGTATGGCCGATTCCAGGTCGATGTTTTAGGGAAGGGAGCGGGGTCGACTGCGACGACACTCGCGCGCAAGTTTCCCAAGTAGGGTCGCGCGCAAGCGCCCTCACCTCCACGCGGTATGCCGCGTGGGCGGCCCGCTCGAGCCGCGGCGCAGAAGGGTCGCTGTGTCCTCTCGCGTACGACCCGCTCGCTTTCGCCGCTCGCGTGGCGCCCCTGGCGGTCCGCCCCCGCTCCGTCCGCCGAGAGGGGGGGGCGCCCGCGCCCTCCCAGCTGGCGTGCCCGCGCCCGCGGCTGCCGACCGACCTGGACGACGCAGCCCCGTCGCCCGCTGCGATGGTTCTTCTGGGGAGGGCTAGCGGCGCCCCGTCCCCCCCCCGCAGCCGTCGGGGAAACATAAGACTCGAGTTCTCAGGAGCGTGGACTGAGCTGCGCTCGTTGACGGGCCCGCCCCGGCTCTTGACGGTCCAGCTTCCGCAGAGTGCTTGCGGCGGGAGTTCGCTTCAGACCGGGTCTCGTCATTTTCCCGACGGCCCCGGAAGTTTAGGCCTCTTAGACTAGATGATGTCGGGGCAGATGGGGTCGGAGGATCGCGCCGCATCGCCGATGCGGCTCGATGTGGAGCCTCATTTTCTTCACCCCAATGGCGCCGACGCATTGCCGACGTCGCCGATGCATCGTCGATGCGTCGTCGATGTATCGGTGATGCGTCGGCGACGCGGCGCGATCCCCCGATCCCATCTGCTCGGGCCCCGTCTGGGAGGCCTCCAGTCCCAGGCCAACCCGAGCCCCCCGAAACCGAGTCGCGCCAGGGGGGCGCGGGGTCGTCGCTCGTTCGTCCGACCCGATCGACCCCACCGCGGGCAGGCCGCCGCGGTCGGCGGCGGGGCGCCCGCCCTGGCGCACCTGGCGGGCGCCGGCGCCGCGTGCGGCGCGGCGGTGGCAGCGCGGAGGCCGCTCGTCGCCGTCGCTCGCCACTCGCCGTCGCCGCTCGTTGCCGTCGTCGTCGCCGTCGCCGTCGCCGTCGCCGTCGCCGTCGCCGTCGCCGTCGCTCGCCGCCGTCGCTCGCCGCTCGTCGCCGTCGCCGTCTTTGCTGTTTCCTTTCGCCGAAGAAGAAAAAGTGGCACGACCACAAACTCGCGGACTTCCGCGCGGACTTCTTGGATTCGTGTTTGGGCCCCCGTGGTTAGCACACCGTATGTTGAGTCAGTTGGGGTTTCGGGGTGACCACGCGGTCTTGGGAATGTTGTCCTTTTCTCAGGACGTCTCGGGCGATTGGGGCTTCCAGGGTCCACAGACAGTACGGTGAGGTCGCTGGGGACTCCGAGGTTGCCGCAAGGTCTGTCACCGCACCGTTCTGAGACCCCGTACGGACATAGCGGGAAGCCTTGATCTTGCGAGCCTCGAGCCTTGATCCTTACGCACCGCTCCCTCCCCCCCCCGCAATTTTTGACGGCGTCGACGACGGGGGCTGCGACGTTGTCGCCCCCGCCAGGGGAACGATGCGGACGACCAGGGGGAGGCGGAGGAGGAAGAGGACGATGTCGACGACGGCGACGTCGACTTGGCGACGGCAATCAGCGACCAGGAGGAGTGTGTGAGAACAAGAGCGACGTCGCCGACGGCGACGGTGAGGACAACGACGAGGACAACGACAATGAATCAGAGGAGGATAATGAGGAGGAGGAGGAGGAGGAGCAGGAGGAGGAGGAGGAGACGAAGGAGGCGGTGGACGAGAACGACGATGACAATGACGTCAACGTTTGCGTCGACGACGTCGACGACGACAAGGGCAATTCAGATGATGAAGAGGAGGAGGAGGAGGAGGCATAGGAGGAGGAGGAAGAGGAGGAGGAGGAGGAGGAGGAGGAGGTCGAGGAAGTCTGTGATGTCCAATGTTACAGGTCCTGAGTGTGTGCAGCACTCGCTCGTTGTGTGCGTGATGAGTTGTCCAAGTTGTATGTTCTTTTGGAGCCGACGTAGATCGTCATGGGTGTGGACAGTTTCCTTTTTGCTTTTTCTTCCTCATTATCTTCTGACTTCTCGGTGCATGATCGTCAATGCAGCAGTTGGCATCAGTCGGTGGATGAAGAAGGAGGTCGAGGACAACGTCGACGTCGACGACGTCGCCGACGAAGATGGCGAGGATACGGTCGGGAACTCTTGGATAGCGTGTCTTTTGCGCTGGTTCTAGCCCACCACGCTTCGGCGCGACACATTGCTATCCACTTCCCAGTTCCCAGGCGTCAACGTCTCGAGCCTTTCCGAGCCTCCCACCCTTCGGAGCAGAGGAACACGCCATCCACTCGCCAGGCATAGCACGTCGCCGGAGCCGCTGCTGGGACACGCTAAGCAATAGTTCGGAAGTCCTGTCCGTAGTGACTATGACTGAGAGCAGGAGGAGCAGGAGGAGCAGGAGGAGGGCGCCTTTCGGTGGCGACGTCGACATCGCGGGCGGGCGCCCCCGAGCGGCGCGTTGAGGCGGAGAGCGCGCGGCACCCGGCGGCGCGCGGTGGTCGTGGCGCAGGACGTCGACAAGGAGCCGAGCGGCAGCGGAGGCCTGCCCGCTCGGAGGCCGAGGCTGCTGGGTTCGGAGGGCGAGATCGGGGAAGCGTAAGGCTCGAGTCTGCTGGGAGTCGGGCTCGCCTGCGATTTTCGACGTGGCCATCCTGGATCTTGACGGTCCAGCGGTCGTGCAGTGTTTGCAGCGGGAGCTCGCTTCAAATCTCAGACACGGTCTCGTCATGTGTTCTTGTTCTCCATCGTGGATTCCAGTGTGTCACAAAGGGACATGCGCCGTTGGACGTCAACCGTTTGAAAATCCTGAACTGTGCCAGAACAGCACCGTCGCGTCTTGACGAACCGGACTCGTGCCAGAACATTCTGTTTGGAATTTGGACGCCACGAATCAACGCATCCGTTGCGCTCCGACAGTCCGACATTCTGCCAAAACCACCTTGCGGAGATTAGCCATGAGAGCCTTGAAAAATCCCGTGGACTCGAAAACCGGATATGCACGGTGCTCAGGCGAGACCCACTTTTTGAACACCACCCGCCCTCCATCCGAAAAGCTGCTGCACAATTTCAATGCAGATTTTTGCGGCGCTAAAACGAGAGCCACGTTTTGAAAACCACCCGCCCTCCATCCGTGAAGCTGGTGTGGATGTTCAATATTTTTCGCGGCGCTAAGGCGAGATCATCTTGCAAGTCACCCGCCCTCCATCCGTGAAGCCGGTGTATGCGCGGCGTCACGGCGAGAGCCACAGTTTGAAAACGTTTCGCCCTCTATCCGTGAAATTGCTCCATCTCGGAAGCTCCAGGATCATACATGATGAGGAAGTCTCAGGCAAAACGCCCGGCCCGTCCTTTCGACCGGCTTCTGGGTGCGACAGGGAGGACGTAAAAGGAAAACGAACGGAAGAGGAGAAGGAGGAGCAGGAGGAGGATGAGGGGGGTGCAAACCCCAGCACGCAGGAGCCTGCTGCTGACCCGTACGCAGCGATCAGCAAGCCGCGCACCGAAGGAGATTCATGATTGCACCCTTCCGCGAGTGCCTACATCCGCGCCATACCCGCGCTGGCATGCCAGTGTTCGGCGGCGAGCGATAGGGAACTTGGAGAGAGGAGACCTTCTCAGAGGGTGGCGGGGCTTCCCAGAAGCCCTCCAGCCTTCTGAGGAGTTTTCTGTGTGTTCGGGGAAGGCTTAGAACATTTCTCAGGAAGCCAGAGGACATCCGAGCCTTCTGAGAAGGCCTGCCCCCTCACACCTTCGCCCCCAGGCCAGCCGCCAAGATGTCTCCAGTCGGGCCATCCTCGCTGAGCGCGCCGGGTTGGAACGAACGCGGGCCTGGCGCCGACTCGCGCACGCCCGCCGAGAAGGCGGCGACTGGAGACCACCCCCGCAAAGCGAGAAACGACAGCTGTAGCCGCGCCAGCACAACTCCTGGACCAGGCCACTCTACGAAGAAACCGCCATATAGACATATAAATGATCGGCGGCCCGCGCGGACTTCTGCGACCCGGCGCTGGTCCCCTCGCTTCGGCGCACGGAGCGCGCCAGGGGCGGCCCCTGAGGAGCCGCCAGTGGGGTTCGGCGCGGATCCGAGCAATTCTGGCGGGCCTCCGAAGAGTTCATGCCTGTGCGCTTTGGTCGCCTTCTGGCCTTTCGCGTGGCCAGGCGCATCCGACCCGTTTCGGACCCGACTTGAGTGTTCGCAATTCGATACAGCTCAGGTTTGCCCTGTCTGTCTTGTAAAAAGGCGCTGTTTTCCTGCATCCGACGCGGGTTCGGCGCGGAGTTGGCGCTTTCGGCATGGACTCGGCGCGGACTCGAAGCACAACAGACCCCCCTTGCCTCGCTGTCGCTCCTCCTGTCCTCTTCGGCCAGCGCTAGGATGCCGGGTGGCTTCGGGGCGCACGCAGCGGGGTTCCGCGCAAACGGGGCCCAGCCAGAGCTCAGAGGAGCAAGAGGTCCCCCCATGTTCCCTACCGTTCCGCACCAACCGCACCGCTATCAGATGCTCTAGAAATCCTGGAACGTATCGGAGGTTTCCAGGATCGCCCATGTTTCCTACCGTTGCGCACCACTCGCACCGCTAGATGCTCTGGAAATCCTCGAACGTATCGGACTCGCACGTTTCCAAGGCGCTTCCGCGGTGTTGGCCCGTGATGGCGACTCGCTGTGCTGCCCAGCGGGCTTGGCTGCGGAGGCCTCCTCCGTGGCATCGGGGGTGCGTGTATTGGGGCAGACATCTCCTGCGCAGTCATCGGCGCCGCTCGGCTTGGACCACGGAGTTTCAAGAGGGCCAAAGAGGGACACAAGATGACCCCAGACAGGGCCCACACGTTTTGCGCTCTCTCTCCTTTCCAGGTCCGCATTAGCTCATGGTCAGCTGATGACGGCCAAGAAGCTTCCGAGCCGGCCCCAAATCTTCCCAAGAGCCCCTCAAGAGGGCCCAGACATTCGACGTGCTTTTTCCGCCACGTAGCTCCCCGGAGATCTGGATCCTTTCCCCAGGACCGGCCTCTCATACCGAGTCGTCTTGTTACGGTCCTGGGCACAGGCAAAAGACTCCGGGAGGCCCAAGCTGTACCCGAACCTTTCCGGGGAGGGTGTCCGAGGAGGGGTGGGGGGACCGGACAGAGGAGAAGGCAACGGCCCTCGGAGACCAACCGAAACTTGCCGAAAACCTTTGTCCGAGTTCTCCCCTCATAGCTGAAAGCGTTTCGCTGGAGGGTTGCAATCATGGATAGAAAGGATAACAGAAGAGTCCTACAGGAGGGGTACAGATCCCGAGACCGCTCTGCTCCAGAGGCGGTTGTGCAGCCGTTTCGCTTGAATGTATTCTGGACTCGTGCTCTCGCCGAAATGCCGGCTACATATTTGGTCTTGACGGTCCGGATATTTAGTGATAGATTTCTACAGTGCGCACGGCCATGCTCCCACCCCTCTCCCCTACAGCCGACCTGCTCCTCGACCCGCCTCTTCACCTTCGCAGATATTCGGATACTTCGCTGGGGTAATTTTCGCGACGCGGGGGCGTCTGGGATCCCTCCAGGCCTCCAGGCAGGGTTCTACCCGCGACTGGTCGGTATCGTTTTGCAGATATGGCGAGTGATCGTGAGAGAGACATGCTTGCTGTACGAGCAGTCGGCCTCAATCGCCACCTCAACCGCGGAGGACCCCGCAAAGCATTCCCTAAAAACGATGATGATACACTTTCGTTCGAAGTCGTTTGAAAAAGTCCGCAAGCAATCCCAGAGCCCCCACAAATGTCAACATACGTCCCAAACCGCTGGGAACCGTCCTCACGAGTCAGGAGGTAGAATGCAGTCACCCCCCTCCCTCTTCCCACCCTCCTCCCTCTCGAAAGTTGCATTGTTTTTGCAGGGCGCTGTAGGCCCGCACGTGGTTGCAGACCACGGGACGGCGGGTCTGGCCTCCACGCGGCTGACGACCCCGGGACGGTGGGTCTGACGAAAGAATGGCTAGCAGGAGCTGGTGATGCCGAAGCCCGGCAAGCAGATGCGCGTGGCCATTGCGGGCGGCGGCGTTGGCGGTCTGACAACCGCTCTCTGCATGCTGAAGGAGGGCTTCGACGTGACTGGCGAGCCGCGCTCTCTGCTTGCCGAGGCGGAGGAGGAGGAGGAGGCGGAGGAGGAGGCGGAGAGGCGTGGGATGGAGTCATGGTAGTGGTAGAGACTCTGCGAGGATCACCGTGCCAGCTCGAGGCGCAGGCCAGGCAGCATGACGGGGGACCTCCGAGCAGACATTCTCTGTCATGTCGTACGCTATCTCATGAGCAGGCGTGAGCATCGAAGTCCCGCGATGAGCAAATTGTTCCCAACGATTCTCTGGCTGGGCCCTTGCACTGAGCAGAGCGCTGCTGGTTTCCGTCTCCGTCCAATTCCCGTCTTTCCCCCTCCCCTCTCAGATTTTGTTTGTTATTGTTATTGCTTGCACCTTCTCTCTCTTTATCAATCTCTCTTTCTCTCTCCCTGGTCATATTTGTTCGGTGTTTTTTGTTTTGCTTTTGTCTCGTTCGTTCTCTCACCCCTTCTATATCATACTTGTAGATGTGGTCACATCTGGATCGATAGCTCTATTTTTACATATATATATATATATATATAGATGTCTATATGTATGTATATATGTATATATGTATATATATATACATATATATATATATATACATATATATATATATATACATATTCGGCCGGAGACCCCGGAAAAGGCGCCCCCCCGAACAAATTTGGGACTTTCCGGGCTGGCCAGACGCCCTCCATGGCACCAGGGGGCGGTTTGGCAATCCCTGCCAAGGCATGCACACAGGCGGGTGGCAGTCCCAAGACGGTCGGCGCAAGGCCCATGAGACGCCCAAGGCGGTCGAAGATGGTTTCACGTTGCCAGTGACCCCGCCAGACGCCCGAACACGGCTCGAATGTCACCCCCGAGAAGCGTTCGACCCTAGACATACATTGATTTTGCATTGTTTTTCGCTTGATCTTCGGATACTCGCTCACTCGGGCCTCCAAGCGTCCGAGAACGCTGGAGAACCATTGAAGTCCGCTCCGAGACGGCGCAAGCGAGCCTACAGACGGCCCAACACGGTCACATGAGGGCCCAAAACGGCCGCCAGATGGCCCACAGGTTGCCCCATGATGGCCCAAAATGACTGCAAAACAGCCGGCAGAAGGCCCAAGAGACTCCCAAAACGATCGAAGATGGTATCAAGCGGTCCAGACCACCGCTGGACGCCCGAAGACGGCCCGAATGTCACTTGGAAGAGGCGCTCGAGACTTGGGAAAACATGAATGTTCCATTGCTTTTTCCGTGTGATTTTCGGATACTCGCTCACTCGGGCCTCCAAGCGTCCGAGAACGCTGGAAAGGTACCCGGAAAGCGCTCCAAGACGAGCCAAACGCACTTCCTGTCACCCCAACACGGTCACATGAGGACCCAAGACGGCCCCCAACTGCCCGCAGGCGGCCCCATGATTGCCCAAAATGATTACAAAACAACCGGCAGAAGGCCCAAGAGAATCTCAAAACGATCCAAGAAGGCATCACGCGGCCCAGACCACCGCTTGACGCCCGAAGACGGCCCGCATGTCACTTGGAAGAGGCGCTCGAGACTTTGGAAACACATTGATTTTCAATGGCTTTTTATATGTTCGGATGCTCGCTCAATCAGGTTTCCAAGCGTCCGAGATAACTGGAAAAACACCAGAAACCGCTTCAAGGCAATCCAGACGGGCTTCCTGACAGCACAAGAGGGCCCCATGAGGGCCCAACACGGCCCCAAAAATTGTCCACGGGCGGCCTCACCACGGCCCAAACTTGTCTTCAAGACAATTTCCCCAATAATGCAACACGTGATCTGGAACCACGACTCCCTGCATGGTGGCTCGAGGACCTCCCCACTGGTCGCCGAAAGGCGCCACGGCCGCCTCCAGAGGCTCCCAAGGAGCCCTAACAATGCTTCCGCGAAGCTCTCCAGCGATTCGCCACGATGGAGCCTCCGCGAACGAATCAGAAGAGGACGAAGAAGGCTTCGTGTGCCAATTCACTCGAGAATGAGGAAGAGAACATGGACGAAGACAAGCATAAGGGAAGGAACAAGAAGAACAATGTAACCACGGTGATGGCGATATCGGCCACCAGAAACGATTTCTGTCTTGATCGGCGTACCTCTCTCAGTCTGCCTGCACCGTTCACTTATCGGACCGAGCTGCATGGCGGGGAAAGCCAACAGTCTTGTATATACATATATATGCATACATATATATATATGTGTGTGTGTGTATATACACATACATATATGTGTATATATATATATATATATATGTATGTGTATCACTCTCTCTCTCTCTCTCCCTCGCTCTTCTCGTTTCTTCCTCGCTTTTTGTTCAACCTTCTCCTCGCAGCCCATTCCTCGCCCTCCCTGTGTGTTGTCAACCTCGCAGCCGTCGACACTTTCGTGAGCTCCTCGGAGGTTCAGCGAAGTGCGGTGCTAATTACGGGGATCCAAGCGAGAACTCGCCCTCATGAGGTGCTGTCATTCGCGCATCGTCCGCCACCTTTCCGAGTTCCTGGGAGGTCCAGCAACATGCGGCACTACAGTTACCCAGACCAGACCTCGGTATCCCTGAATTCTGCCAATGGCAAGTGTCGCCGCTTCTGTGAGCTCTTTGGAGGTCCAGCGGAGCACCAAGAAGAGGAGAAGGAGGAGGAGGAGGAGGAAGAGGAGGAGGAGGAAAGGGGCATCGGAAGGAGGGGAACTCCGCAGAAATTTTGTTCCGGGAATGCCTCGCGGCCACGATCAGATCCGCTTGGAAGCCCCCGATCAGAACGCACCCTAGGACAGGTCGGGGAGGAAAAGGATAATTGATGAGGAGGAGGAGGAACAGCAGGAGGAGCAGGAGGAGGAAGCAGGAGAGGAGGAGGAGGAGGAGGAGGAGGAGGAGGAGGAGGAGGAGGAGGAGGAGAGGAACGAGGAGGAGGAGGAGGAGGAGGAATAGGAGGGGGAGAAGCAGGAGGAGGAGGAGGAGGAGGAGGAGGAGGAGGAGCTGGAAAGAGGAGAACTCCGTAGCCATTTTGGCTCAAGCTGGCTCGAAAGTGCCCCTGCGCGGCGAGCGGGAGGAGCACGGCATGGCGGCGGCGGGAGCGGCCCAGGATCGGGTTTCAAGGGCATCTCAGTGGGCTGCTGGGCGGCGCTCGCAGGATGTCGCCGATCCTTCGAACAGGGCAAAACCGCATGACCATGAGCGTGTGCATGTCCGCGCGGAGTTGCTGGGTCGCCGCTGGATGCCCCTCCTTGCCACACGGGGTGCGCCAGGGTGCGCGCCAGGGAGGGGTGCCCAGCGCCGATCCTAGAAATCAACAAGTACCTCAGTACATCTATGTTTATGTTGTTCAAGTTCCGAATTATGCAGATCACAATTTCACCGACAAGACCAGCGGCCTCGTGGAGCGGATGGGGGTGGCCGAGTTGGCCCTGTACGCCTTAGTCGGCGACGCCGACCTGTCGGGCAGGTTGTTCGCCTTGCTGTCAGCACTACGAAGGTATACGTCTGTTCAGGAGCATTCGTGGTTCGACCGGTTCCATCGCAACGTTGCATTTCATGCAGCAGCTTCTGCGAACCGCATCTGTGCGAACATCTCGTTCAACTGCCGCAGGCGCAAGGTCACCCGCGCGGGCTGCCCTCCTTCCACACCAAGATCCTGACGTCCACGGCCTGCCAGGTCAAGACCGTGAGCGACGTGGGCGTCGTATGCGTCAGAGCCAATGGCGCTGGTGACCTAGACGGGCCGTGGGCTCTGGGTGGCCTGCGCGTCATGGTTTCCAGGGCCCGACGTCGGACAAACTTGTGACGATTTGGAGTTTTTTCCCGCGGGCTACCCGCGGACTTGGCGGCGCGCCTGCAAGCTAAGAGAGCGCGCGCGCTTGGGGTGGGGGGAAACACAGGAAACTATCCCGGGGGCCTTGTGGCCAGCTCAGCCTCGCCAGGCTCCATGCGCTACCATTGACTGATCGATGGGGCCGCCAGGGCAGCTCGCAGCTCCCCGGTGTAATGCTAGCGTCCAGACGGGGAGGCGCGCGCACGGCGCCAGCGGCGCGGACATCTAGAAACGTTTTTGCGTTGAGGGATTGGCAGCAAGAAACACTATTGCGTCGCATCGGTGCCTTCTCGCCCTTCGTGTCGTTTCGCGTTTCTTCCTCGTTCCCATCGTCTCTAATGGTTTTTTCCCTGGCTTCTGGAACCCATTCTTGTTCTTCCGTTCGTTCTTATGGTTCGTATTCGCATTCTCCCCCTCCACTTCTATGTGCCGTCGTTGCCTCGGGCCTGGCCCCATGGATCCCCCCGCTCGACGGAATTTGATGTATCTCCCACGTTGGGTTACTGCCAGGTTCGCGACATGTGTTGCCATAGCTTGGCCCGTCGATATAGACGAATTTCCTGCGAAGGGCATTGTTGGGGTTGGGCAGTGGGCAAGGGAATGATTATAATGTGGATGATGGGGAGAGGAGACGCAAGAGGGGCAGGGGGAGGAGAAGGAGGGAGGAGGGAAAAGGGAGGAAGGGGAAATGGAGGAAAAGGCAAAGGACCATGAGGAGAAGGGAAAGAGAGATGGCAGGAGAAGGAGGGGGATCAGGATAATGTGAAAGGGGAGGAGATGCAGGTAGGCAAGGGGAGTGGGAAACGAAATGAGAAACAGCAGCAGGAAGAGTAGAGCGAGAAACAGTATTAATCAATCGAATGAGGGATATGTGAGTGGAAGGAGCTCTGGGAACGTTTGGAAGCTTCAGATAACACTGTTCCGAACATACTTGGAGTCCCCCGGTGTCCACCCGAAACTGACTTTGTCCTCGTCCCGATGGCCTGAACGGATTCCTTTGCGGACGGGGGAGAGGGGGTGGAGCAGCATTGATCGATGATTTTAGGGCTGAACACGGTCAAGTGAAGAACATGTTGTGGCAGCATGTGGAAGGCGAGGAGTTGGTGGCAACGCGGGGCGCCATCTGTCTGGGCGGAGAAGGTCGGAGGAGAGCTGCAATCGGGACGCGGATGCGGCAACTGCGCGTTGGAGAGGAGCCTGCCCCGCTGGCTTGCTCGGCTACATACGCAGAGTTGCGCGAACAATTGCGCGCGATCGCCCCAGTGTACGAGAAGACGGGCAAGTTCGCGCGCTTTGGTGGCCCTATCCAGTTCGCCAGCAACGCCACGTCCACGCTCAAGGCGATCGACGAGCGCCTCTTCCAGAGAATCATGGACAAGTTCACCTTCACCGCAACACGCCGATGTGGCATCAAGGACTGTCGACGTGGGGCTGCATCCATCCAGCTTTGTCTTCCTAGATTTGTCCCCTCCTCCAGTTTTCTCGGGGAGTGGCTTGCTCTCAGTTTCCTCACTCTGTCCCTCCCTTGTTCGTCGTGGTCGTCGTCGTCCTCCTCCTCCACCTCCGTCTCCGTTTTCGCACTTTTTCAGCGCGTTTGTAGGGATGAGCTCATGAGAGTCATGCTTGGCTCATCGAGAGGCGATGTGGTGGAGGAGCATGATTTGTGCGACTGGCAACAAGAGCGCGCGCCTCCTGTTCCCGGTGAGGCCCAGGCGATTGTTGGGCTGACACCAGGGCTTCCCAGCTCCGTGCACGCCATCTCATTAGTGATGCAATTGTCTCCCGCGCGCTCCCTAGGTGCTGGTCTGGCGGATGCGCTCAATACCATGCCAAAGCACAGGGAACAGACATTGGCATCCTAGGCGTTTGGCATTGGCCCCTGGGCGTTTGGCATCCTAGGCATGTTCTCCCCCTCCCTAAGCACAACGGTACCCTTCGCGCTACGTTCTCCTGGCGGAGACCGGCGTGAGCCAGGGCAACAAAAGGGGAGGCCGTCGCCCTTTTGTTCGGGACTCCTTCTGGCAGTACTCGGACTGCACCTCGCGGCTGAGTGCTTTACCCTCGACCCATGCAGGGCCGGCTACGATCCGGTTCGATGCGATTCGGCTCGCCGGCTGGAGCCGCGACTTCGATAAGATTCGATTCGCTGGCAACGGCCAGGGCCAGCTGGAGATTGGCGAGGCGATCCGATTTCGACTCGATTCGGGATGGGTCGTTGCCGATACAGTGTGTGTGTGTGTGTGTTCCGATCCGATGCGATCTCGCGGTTCGAAGGAAGGGAAAAAGGGTACGGTAGCAATGGCTCGCCGACGCTGGGAGCAAGTCAGCGTGCTACTCCTTTGTTACTTTCCGGTGGCATGGTGCTCTGTTGATAGTGAATGGCTGATGGGTTCCTCAAAGGGGGCGTGCCATTGGTACTGCGTTTGCCCCCCCCAGCCTCAGTCTTATTCTACGGCCGCCTTGAATATGCTTATCGGAGCCGGGGCAAGAGCTCTGATCGCACCGTGTTCCCCAGGCCCCCGACGTCGGGATTTTTTTCGACGTGGTCTTTCAGAGCCCTTGGCCTCTTCCCAGGGACTGCTTTTTCATCCTGGGTAGTTTGTCGATGGTCGAGGGGCGCGTGGCTTCCACAGGCAGAAAACGTTCCAAACATTGTCCCTCGTTCGAAACGCGAGGGGGTCTGGGTCCCATGGCCAGGCCCTCGAACAAAACCAAGAACACCAGGATGGCAAGCGCGCCGACGGCTCCTTCCGCATGACGGAGGTCCTGGACCCGAGCTACCTGGTCGACTCGAGTGTTTTGGCCCCAGCTTCGAGAAGCTGACAGCTTATATACGTGAACTCGCACGCACGCGCGCGCAAGTGCACACCACAGGACGAGAAGGTACACCTCCGCTCGTCCTGGACGAGTTCTTGTCGCCACGGCTGGATTCTCTTGGAAATTCTGGTTCCAACGCGCCTTGGGAAAGGTCCAGGGAGTCACGGTATCGGCAAACCTTGTTCCAGCGCGCATGGGATAAGGGCGTTGGCCGAAACCTCGGTCGCTATTCGGGGAGATGTCCCTGCCCTGGCCCTTCTTCCTGCACGCCCTGAGCCCTCATCCCCCCTCCCCGCCGTCCCCGAGAGGGGCGAGACCTCCCGAGACGGCCAGGGCTGGGCCGAGGCGGGGAGATCGACCAGAACGAGGTCGGAGGAGGATCGAGGTTCGAGGGCGCTTCGCGCCGCTGCTGGGCGTCCCGTCCCCACGGCAAGGCCAAGCTGGGAGGTGCTGCGGGCCCTGGTTTGTGGGTGTAGGGCCGGCACCTTCAAAGAAACAGCCTCTTCGTAAGACGCTTTCCTCGGACAGGGCTAGGACGAGCATAAATCCGTTGCAGATCGTTCGGGAACGCTTTGAAAGCCTTCTGGAACGCTCTGAGAAGGCCGCGGCGCCTGATACATCCCCCAGGTCCGCCAGTTCTCAGAGATTCCCGATTCAATCCGTATCTGGTTTTCTCCTCGCCCCAGCTTCGCCGTGCTTCCCCCCCTCCCCCTGCCCCTCGAGGGGCGCGCCGCCAGGCCGAGTCGGGAGCTGCTCCGGTCGGCGTTCCGCGGGAGCGCGCCGGGCTCCGGCCGGGTCTGGGGCCCCGGAGGTGCCCAGGTCCTCTCGCTCCCCGCTCGCGGCCCTGCGAGCAGCGCCGGCGTCGAGAGGTTCGGCCCGCGCGCACGGTGTACGCGAGCGCACAGGGTGCGTGCGTGATCGCCTGCGGCTGGTATTTCGGGGGGCCCCGAGATCCCAGGACATTGGAGCGGGCGGTTTTGCTTGTTTTTGGCCTCTCTGGGGGCCCTCGCCGGGGCTCAGCGTCAAAAAACGACTCAGGACGAAAAGCCGGCTCTATAGGGGAGTGGTCCGAACTCGGCGCTCAAGGGACGGGGGTCGATGCAAAGGAGGGTCACGCCAGATTTTGCAGGGTCCTGCAGAGCCAGGGCTGCCTTGACCCGGGCTTGCGTGCAGAATCCTGTAGGATTCTGCTGGCTCCTGCAAGCCCCGACTGACCCGAGTATGGATTCACCCGGGTCAGTAGATCCCCGACGGCCCTCCAGGGCCCACGCATCGGAAAATTGGAGCAGCCCGATTTCTGGGGAGGTGCGCTGGCTCCGTGGAGGGTGCAGGGCGGCATCGCATGATCGCGCCACGGGTCTCCTCGTATGCCTCGTTGCTTCGATCGCCGATCGCCTGCCCGATGCCCCAGATCCTCCCCAGCCGTGTGGAAGACGATCAATGGAGAGGAGGCAGATTGCCAAATAATTTCCAGATGTCTAAGACTTGTTCAACACATGTTGGAGCATGTTTATTGAACAATTTCTCAAACTGTCAGTGACCACTGACATCGCATCCGCAACTCCAGCCGTCCGAGATTCCCATCGGACTTGGTCGGCTTGAATTTGTGACTCCCATGGGTCGGGAAAACGTATGGACTCGAGTACACCGGAACTCGGGTCCGCCTACGTTTTTGGACGAGCCCGTCTTGGATTTGGACGGTCAAGTTCTCGTGGGATGTCTGCAGCGGGACCTCGCGTCAAATTTCAGATTGAGTCTCATCATTTTCTTGACGACCTCCTCAGGGCAACCCGAGTCTCCCGTGCCCGAGGTTTACGTCAAACAACGACCCAGGAGGAAAGGCTGACCCGGTGAAACGTCCCAGGGCCCAGAACCCGTCACCACCGTGACCCTCTCATGAGGAGGGGGGTGGACGAGCATGATACAGTTCTTGCTTCCCAGTCCTGTGGCCGGCCGCGCACGGGCTGCAGCGCACCTGGTGATGCCTTCACTGCTGCCCTTGTGCCAGGCAAGAGGGCACGAGCGCGCCAGCGACAGCACCCTCTCGCGCCCAGATGCGGTCAAATATATCGCATGCGAATTTGTGTTTGTAATCGCCTGGCTCGCCAAGACGCCGAGATCGTGTGAGAGCCCACATTCGGACACTCGAGGTGCCCGCGGATTGGTTCGTCTCTTTCCCGCTCAAAGAGTGTGCCGACTTCTTCCAGCTCCCCTACACTGGCGTCATCAATCGCCCCGACTTGCAGGACATACTTCTGGACGAGTGCCGGCAGTTGAAGCCAGACTTCATTCAAAACGGTGTTGCGGTGCAGGGCTACGAGAATCACGCAGGTGGCCAGAGAGCGGATAATCTTAGCATAACTTTGAAGTGTGCTCTCAATGCGTCCGTTACATTAACAAGCTACCCTGGGCCGTGCTAAGGGTGAGTGCGCGGCACAATTCGGCAATGCTGCAGGTGCGGCATTCGAGGAAGCAGTAGAGTGTCGATACAGATTTGTGGAATGTATCGCAGGAGGCATGCTCGGAGGTGAGGGGGAACGGAGGGCCCCCCTACCGGGAAGTAGGTTTCGGTTTCGTGTTCGTGCGTGCCGTGGGTGCGGGCGAGGCGAAGCTGCGTGGGCGGGCGAGAAGACAGTCTCCTCCCGCTGAGGCGCGGCCAGACCAAATGATTGCTCTCCGAGGGCCGGTGCCGCGCGGTGTCCCGCCGGTGCTCCGCCTCCGGCTGAGGCGCGGCCAGACCAAATGTTTCCTTTCTGGGGGCCGGTGCCGCGCGGTGTCCCGCCGGTGTCCCGCCGGTGTCCCGTCGGTGTCCCGATGATGATGATGATGATGATGATGATGATGATGATGATGATGATGATGATGATGATGATGATGATGATGATGATGATGATGTTGTTGATGATGGTGATGGTGATGGTGGTGGTGATGACGATGGTGTCCCGATTATGATGATGATGACGATGATGATGATGATGTTAAATATGAGGATATTGCTGATGATGGTGATGGTGGTAATGATGATGGTGTCTCGATGTTGATGATGTTGATGATGATGATGTTGATGATGATGGTGATGTTGATGATGATGGTGCTCCGATGATGATGATGTTGATGATCCTGATGATGCTGACTATGAAGAGATGATGATGAGATGATGATGGTGATGATGATGATGGTGTCCCGATGATGATGAGGAGGAGGTTGATGATGATGATGCTGTTGCTGATGATGATGATGATGATGATGATGATGATGATGATGGTGTCCCGGTGATGATGATGTTGATGATGATGACGATGATGGCCTCCCGATGATGATGATGATGTTGATGATGAGGATGATAATGAGGTGATGACGACGATTTTCATGATGGTGGCCCCCATGATGGTGATGATGATGATGCTGATGTTGATGAGGATGATGATGCTGTCCCGATGGTGATGATGATGCTGATGATGTCGATGATGATGGTGTCCCGATGATGATGATGTTCATGGTGATGATGTTGATGTTCATGGTGTCCCGATGATGATAATTGTGTGCCGATGGTGATGATGATGTTGATGATGCTGTTCGTGATGATGATGAGATGATGGTGGTGATGGTGGTGTTCCGATGATGATGATGATGGTGTCCCGATGATGATGGTGTTGGTGATGATGATGGTGACGATGATGGTGCCCCGATGATGGTGATGAGGATGGTGATGATGATGGTGTGGATGATGATCGTGATGTGGTGATGATGATGGTGCCCCGATGATGATGTTGCTGCTGATGATGTTGATGACGTTGATGACGATGATGACCATGATGATGACGACGATGATTGTGCGATCGATTGTGATATCGATAGTGGGATCGATCGTGAGACCGAGTGTGAGATCGATTCTGAGATCGATAGTGAGATCGATAGTGAGATCGATTGTGAGATCGATAGTCAGATCGATTGTGAGATCGATCGAATGATATAGATCTCACTCGATCGATTGTGAGATTGATCGAGTGAGATCGATCGAGCGAGACCGATAATGACATCCATAGTGAGATCGATAGTGAGACCGATCGAGTGAGACGTTGGTTCCTCCCCCCCCGAACCGCCTTATCACCCGAAGGGTGGTCGCATAAGTATGGGTATGTTGTTTTTGTTCACCCAGAACCAGTTTAGCCAAATGCAAGTCACTTCCATGCCCCATGCTGGTCTGAGGCTATTGTTCCCCAGTCGTTGCTTGCACTGCAAGAGTCTCGGCGGATCTTCAAAAGGGTAGGCGAGTGTACGGCACCAGTTTCGGTGCGCGGCTGGGTGCCCGGGCTCCCAGTCCCTAGTTCTCGCTTGTCGGCTCCAGGGCGATTTCGGTGGGCGGCCAGGTGCCAGGTTTTTTTTTTCCAGATCCACAGGTCCCAGCGTCGTAAGGTATCGGGATCTTCGAATTGTTGGTTGCAGCAAGGTGCTAACATGCTTGTGTCCACGATCAGACCGTAAATCGTGACCAGTGCATCTCACATCTTTGAGAGCATAACTTTTTGAGAGGGGGGGAGTGCATCCTTGAACAGCTTGTGTCTCCATATATCTGTTTTCCTACATATATCCCACTGAGCAGAGCGTACCGAGTTGATGGTGTAACCAATAGTGGTGCAGCTTCAATGAACGACTGAGTGGAGCTAGTGGTACGGAGACAGGGAGAGAGAGCGAGTAGAGAGACACAAAGAGAGCGAGATATATATACGAAGATAACGAGGCAGAACAAGTTGGGCTTGTGATTCACATGCGCAGATACGCGCATACACGAATAGGCAGAGATAGAACAAAGTAAAGAGAGGAAGGGAAAGTGATAGAGAGAGAGAGAGAACAAACAAAACGTAGCCAGCGGGAGCAGGAAGTAGTTCCCCCATCAGGACTTGCACTGAAACGGTCGATCTGGAGACTGGGCGAGAGTGGCGGGACCGAGTTCGTGTGGCGACTGGTTTCCAAGATTTGCTATTTTTGGGTTCCCGGACGATGTCGGTGGGCAGAAAGTCCCCTATGTTCCCGATTCCAGGTTTAGGGTATTTGGTGCAGCGCGATGTCTTGGTTTTCGCGTTTCTCCGGGCAGTGGCGACCAGAGTCAGAAGAAGAGTATATGTAATTAAATAGTAGATAGCGTTGTAGATGAGAGAGCAAAAATCACTGTTGAGCAGAGAGGATCGATAATAGATGTTAGAGAACAGAGGGTTGATCGACTCTCCAGGATATGTGCAGTAAGCGTGGTAGTAACAGGTTGGAGAGAGAACGAAGATATGCACGCACACACACATACATACACATGTATATGCACATGTAGTGTCGACATATAGAGAAAGAGAGACACAAAGAAGGAAGGCCGGACTAGATAGCGATATGTTGGTGAATGTAGAGTTGTAGAGAATAGGTATGACCATTGCATTGTCGAGAGTAGAACTGATGAATGGATGGTGAGGTCAGAGTGAGAGGACTTATGTTATACATCTATATATATATATATATATATATGTGGCGACTGGTTTCCAAGATTTGCTATTTTTGGGTTCCCGGACGATGTCGGTGGGCAGAAAGTCCCCTATGTTCCCGATTCCAGGTTTAGGGTATTTGGTGCAGCGCGATGTCTTGGTTTTCGCGTTTCTCCGGGCAGTGGCGACCAGAGTCAGAAGAAGAGTATATGTAATTAAATAGTAGATAGCGTTGTAGATGAGAGAGCAAAAATCACTGTTGAGCAGAGAGGATCGATAATAGATGTTAGAGAACAGAGGGTTGATCGACTCTCCAGGATATGTGCAGTAAGCGTGGTAGTAACAGGTTGGAGAGAGAACGAAGATATGCACGCACACACACATACATACACATGTATATGCACATGTAGTGTCGACATATAGAGAAAGAGAGACACAAAGAAGGAAGGCCGGACTAGATAGCGATATGTTGGTGAATGTAGAGTTGTAGAGAATAGGTATGACCATTGCATTGTCGAGAGTAGAACTGATGAATGGATGGTGAGGTCAGAGTGAGAGGACTTATGTTATACATCTATATATATATATATATATATATATATATATATATATATATTTAATATATGAAATTTATAGATTCTACCGCTTACTGGCGGAAAACCGGGGGGGGTCACTACCGGTTCGAACCCCTTCCCCCCCCCCCCCCCCCCCCCCCCCCCCCCCCCCCCCCCCCCCCCCCCCCCCCCCCCACCCCCCCCCACCCCCCCCCCCCCCCCCCACCTCCCCTCTGGAAAAACCGGGGGGTTCACTAACGGTTCGACCCCTCCCCCCCCCCCCCCCCCCCCCCCCCCCTGCTCATCATTCTGAAAAAGGGGGGGGGTCATACCGGTTCGAAAATCATCCCCCCCCCCACCCCAACCCCCCCCTCCCCCCCCCCCTCGAAAACCGGGGGGGGTCACTACCGGTTCGAACCCCCCCCCTCGAAAACCGAGTGGGGGTGCGGACAGTGGTGGAGACGGTGTTGGTGGGGACAGTGGTGAGGGGATAGCGGGACAGTGGTGGGGACAGTGGGACAGTGGGACAGTGGTGGGGACGGTAGTGGTGGGGACAATGGTGGGGACAATGGTGGGAACAGGGGGGGACAGTGGACAGTGGTGGTGACGGTGGTGGTGGGGACAGTGGTGTGGGGACAAAGGGAATGAGGTGGAAACAGTGGGACAGTGGAGGGTACAATGGTGGTGGGGACAGTGGTGAAGGCGGTGGCGAGGACGGCGGTGGGACAATGGGACAGAGGTACAGGGGGGACAGTGGTGGGGACAGTGGGGACAGTGGTGGGAACAGTGGGACAGCTCAGTGGGACAGCGGAGGAGTCAGTGGGACAGTGGGGACACTAGGGATAGTCGGGCAGTGGTTGGGGCCGCGGAGACAATGGGGAGAGTGGAACCGTGGTGGGAACAGTTCTGGGGACAGCGGGGACAGTGCGACAGTGGTGGGGCCACTGGTGGGGACAGTAGGGGCGGTGGTGGAACCAGTGGGGACAGCGGTGGTGAGGACAGTAGTGCTGGGAACACCAGTGGGGGATGTGATGCGGACGGTGGTGGGGACCGGGAGTCGTTTGCTGGCGGTGAGTAGGGGGGGGGGGGGGGGGGGGGGGGGGGGGGGGTGGGGAGGGGGGAGGGGGGGTTCCTCGAACCTGGTGGGTAGTGAACCCCCCACGTGTTCGAGCGCGAGGAGGGGGGGGGGGGGGGGGGGAGGGGTTAGGGAGGAGGTGTTTGCCGGGGGGACAAGGGGAAGGGGGGGGGGGGGGGGTGGGAGGGTTCCAGCAGCGGGGGGGGGGGATTTCGGAGGGTTTGGGGGGGGGGGGGCGAGGCGACCCCCGGGTTCCGGAGAGAAAAGTGTTGGCAATTTCCGTAGTTAAAGCGGCGGTGGATCAACCACCACACACAACACCCCCACGCCCCACCCCATTACACAACCACCACCACCCAGCCTTCACCACACCACCCCCACCACCCCCCCCCCCCACACTCACACCCCCCCCCCCACCACCCACACACGCTCTCTCTCATATATAGATACGTATATATCTATATACATAAATGTACATGAGTACATGTTAGAGGGCATAGGGCGAAGGTGGGCTGAGACGCAGAGAAAGAGAGAGAGAGAGAGAGAGAAAGAGAGAGAGAGAAACAACAAACACAAGAGAGAAAGAGAGAGAGCACAACACATATATATATATATATATATATATATATGTAGACACGTTGAGAAACCGAAGGGGGGATTGACAGAGCGAGATAGAGAGATATACAGAAACAACATGAGAGCGACCAGCAAACAATCATTGAAACATCTGAATATACGTACACATCGTAGGTAGAGTTGAGTCGGTCTGAGATGCCATGAGTGCTGAGCGAGATGCGAAGCCATATCAAGCACAGTTATATTGTTTGTAGTGTATACAGCAGGGACGTATATATATATAGAGAGAGAGAGAGGAAGAGAGAGAGAGAGAGACAGAGAAAGAGAAAGGGGTAGAGAGAGAGAGAGTGAGGGGGCAGGCGTTGAGCGCATAGAACAATACAAGAAATCTTGCGATTTTCTCTGCTGTAATGTATTTCCTTGTGGGAGTCGGTGGACGCGCATAATGAGGTGTACTCTGGGCTCCCATGAGTTGGCCCTGATGGCATCATATCTGATGAGTAGCCGAGCGGAAGGCCCGAACTGCCTGGAGGTCCCGGCAAGTATTAGGTAAGTTAGCGAGCCCCCAGCATGTAGTAATGTTATAAATTTGATGAACGCGTGGTGCAGGGTCGTCTGGCCCTGTCGCACATCACGCTGCGTCTTGAGGGCCGAAACTCCCCTACGCAACGAATCGTCGTCTGGTTTTTTGTGAGGGTTCGGTGCTGAACATCGCCCCTCATAGACGACATTGAGAATCGGTTGCGCGTTAGGAAAGCAACCCAAGATCTTTAAGGATCTCGGACACATGATATCGCAGAGCGTATCCCAAGGGTGTTTGCAGTGTATTATCACTGATGCCAGGCGCGGTGAATTCGGTGTGATTTTTTGTACGTCTATACGTGAGTGGGTTGTGATAGTTGTGGTTTTGTTTGCCGCCATTGAATACGAGTACCAATTTCACAACACACGATTCACATGGGGGGCAAAGGAACGGTGCTACATGGGCTCCAGTTCAAACAGCGACAGCATCAACAGGGAACGCCGCGTGAATGCCACAACTTGAAGGACCCACGGGGGGGGCTGTCAGATACGTTTAATGCACGACACGCAGGCAACAACAAATCGCACTGCGTGCGTTGAGGACCGCCCCCTCCCCCGCTGGACCACATGCGCACTGCGAACTGTCCCAGAGCACAGGGCGGCCCGCACTGGGTTTTCGGGCCGCTCCTTAAAGTTCTGTAGTGGAACCGATTGGCGGCCTGGGCTACCGTGGCGAGAAAAGCCCCTTCGTTCGTTATGTTGTCTTCCTCATCGTGCTCGGTTGGACAGGGCACCCGAGAGGACACAATATTCCTTCGATGGCAACTCGGCCCCAGAGCACCAAAGAACATGCGGCCTGCAAAGGTCGGGATAGATAGGACAAGGGTACCCTGGATTCGGCAGGGCCGACATCTTAGGAGGAGGAGGAGGGGGAGGAGGAGGAGGAGGAGGAGGAGGAGGATAGCACAGCTTAAGTTTGATCAGCGTCAAAAAGGAGGAGGAGGAGGAGGAGGAGGAGGAGGAGGAGGAGGAGGAGGAGGGCACCTTGGGTTCGACATTCGGCAAGGGTGCCCAGGTGGAGTCGACCTCACTGGTCCTGGCCCAGCCCCTCCTGGGCCCGGGGGGGGTCGTTGCCTGCGCTGCCCTGGCCAAGCCGGGAGGGCAAGCACACGCCGATCCTGGGCCCAAGAGGGGTTTGGGCCCGGATCGGTGCGAGGTGGTCGGCTGACGTCCCGCGAGCGAGCTCGGCCACGCGCAGAGGGGGGGCAGGGAGAGGGGGGATGGCTTCTTAGAAGCACCCCTGCTTCTTAGAAGGCGCGGGCCTTCTGTGTAGATCGCCTTCTAAGAAGCGCCCTGCTTCTAAGAAGCCTTCCACCATCCCCCTACCCCCTTGTGCGCGCCGCCAACGAACCCACACATCGTGCGTCATGAAAAAATCAATCAGAGGCTTGTTCATCGTTTTCGACCTCTGGGGGGCCTTACGGGGCCTCGGGACCGTCCCAAAAAGACTCGGGGAGAAAACGGGTCGAGAGGTCGGTGGCCTGTGTCTCGAACAACTCGTGGCGCACAATGTTTGGGACAGCCAGGGGAAGTGCGACAATGTGTCATATGGTTGTCGTGTGTGCTTCTCGTTTCCTGACGGCTCGCCTGGCGTAGTCCCCCAGCTGCAGCGCCAGGTGAAACTGACGCTACACGTGCCCCGTTTCAGCTCTCGCTGTGACTCGGCCGTTGGCAAAAAAAATGCTTCTCGTTTCCTGCACCGGAGGCGGCGTCACTGTCAAGCTGAGCGACGGCAGCACGGCGGAGGCCGACGTGCTCGTCGGCTCCGACGGGATCTGGTCGGCCGTGCGCTCCCAGATGTACGGCGAGGGAGAGGCCCATCGGGCCTCCCAAGCTCGGCTAGGCCAGCGTGGGTCGGGGATCCCCCAGCGGCGCGAAACCATGTAGTGAGTCAGTAAGGGTTTGGGGTGTCCGCAGGGTGCTGTGACTCGATTCGTTATCCGAGGATGTCTCGGGCGACGGGGGCCTCCAGGCTTCCAAAACCGTGTTGTGACGGATCGTGAAGTGTCCTTCGGGTTATCGAGATCACCGCACTGTTTTTCACGTGCCCAGAGTTCATCTCGTCGTGGAAACATCGTCAGGGAGGAGCTCTCTGGGCCCCGGGACAGTCAAGCGACCACTCCGGATGAAGAGCAGTCTTTGCGGAAGGGGTTTAGACCTTTGGGGGTCCGCGCCGTGAAAATCACGACGTCGGAGATTTGGGAGCGCGCGCGTATGTGCAAAATTGAAGAATGGAATTCTGGAGTAAATTGTTTTTCCACGTGCACTGCCTTACGAGTGCCGCAGCTGCGGTGGCTCGCTGGAAGCGCGTCCTGAAGCATGGTCTCGCTGTTCTTTGGAAAGGCGAGTGTGTGCATGTGTGCGTGTGTGCGTGTGCGTGTGCGTGTGCGTGTGTGTGTGTGTGTGTGTGTGTGTGTGTGTGTGTGTGTGTTTGTATGTGTGTGTGTGTGCGTGTGTGTGTGTGTTGTGTGCCTGTGTCTGTGTGCGTGCGTGCGTGCACATGTGTGCGTGTCCGTGTGCGTATGAGTGAGTGTGTGTGTGTGTGTGTGTTTGTTCGGTCGCGCACACATCTTATAGTCGCACATCTTGTGGGCTGGGGGGCTCCGCAGCGCATGGAGGGACCAGGGGGCCTGGAGGTGCTCCAGAGGCGCTCCGAGAGTCCCGAGTCGCGGCCCGGTCCCGAGTCGCGGCCCGGGCCCTGCTAGGCCGCCTCCCCAAAGGAAGCGGGTCCTCAGGGAAACGGGCCCCGCGCCCCGGGGCGCGGGACTGGTATTAAACGCCCCGGGATGAAGAGCTGGTCCTAGGGAAGGCCCCCGGGATCCAGGAGCAGTTTCCCAGAGGGCCCGTTTCCTTCATTCAAGATACTTGATGTACCCCCCCAAGCGGTCGCAACATCACGACGGGAGGCTTGAGGCTTGGGGACGCTTTTGGCATCTGGGAGCCCTCGCTGGGCCCCGGGACCGTCAAGGAACGGCCCAGGATGAAACGCCGGTCGTGAGGAAGGGGTCCAGATTTCTACTGGGCCACGTGGCGAAACAATCACGACGTCTGGGGGAGTCTGGGGTCTGGGATCACGAGGCCTTCGAGCTGGATCCGCCGACCCTGATGAAGGGAAAGATCGGGAGGTCCCTGGAAGGCCGCTCTCTCATGCTCGTTCCCCCCCGAAGCAAAAACAGGACAGGACACGGTGCCACCTCAGAACACCGTTACGACGTGCACCCCCCCCCCTGCAAACACGCCGACCGGGTAGGTGGATGTTTCGTGCACTGATAGAACGCGCCCACCCAATGAAGTCGATTGAGGAAGTGTTCGCTGGTTCACTCAACATCGGCATTCGCAGCGTACAGGTGCAATGCCCCGTCGGTTTTGCTGATCGGCGTGATCTTTGCCAGATACGATTGGTTGTTACTTGGACGTCGTTCAGGCATCCCGCATGGGTGCACTTGGAACGCGGTTCCGCGCGCACCTGTGGAGCGTCTACGGCAGTTTTGGCCAAGGGACATGTTCCTAAATGGGTCTCCGTCGATTCTTTTCGGGGGGTAAAGGATGGGGTCTGAAGGGATGATGCCTTACCGAGCCACACCTCTTCGCGTTGCGCAAAATTCGCGATGGAAGCTCTTTGGCAATGTTCGACCTCCTGGAGGCCTTTCCCAGACCCCATGACCATTAACAGAAAGACTCGGTATGAAAAAAACAGTCTCTGGTACGGGACGTTCAGGGGTCCACAGTGCGAATCAAAACCACGACGTAGGAGGCTTGGGGATAGGACAAGGCTTCCAGGTTGATTCTGCATTGTTCAGAGCCTCCTCGCCCAATGATCCCATGCCTCAGGCTCCATTTTTGGCTGCGGTGCTTCCAGAGTGGGCCGACTTCGAGGAACCAGAGGATGATAGGAACATCAACTTTCAGAGGCCCGCGCGGACCTCCGAACTTTTATGTACATGTTTGTTGCTTTTATTTTCCGAAGTAGGGAGATGGGGGCTGCGATCAGTTACGCCGGAAGTCCATCCGTTGAGACTCCGAGGTGAAGGGGTCGTCCGCGGACGGCAAGACACGGCAGGGCTGCCCGTACTCAGGATACACCGTGTTCGCCGGTGAGACCGTTACGAAATTGGGCGACTACTACGACTGCGGCTACAAGGACGCTGGAGGGATTATCGAAGAGCAGAGGACAATCGCATTGGGCGCGGGCCGGCCGAAATATCGGTCGACTCATATAATTTGAAAAGTTGTGATCGGTGTTTCGGGGGGGACTCGCCGAGTTCGCCCAGATCTGGGGTCTCGGAGGGGCTCCAAATCATCCTGTTCCCGCCTCCGCTCCTGCGAGCAGCGCCGACGTCGAGAATTGATGCCTGCGCGCACATACATAAACTGTTGCATACTTCGGGTCGACGCTAGATCCTCTCGCCAAGTGCCTTTGGAAGTTCACGTTTCTGTTGTTGCTTGCAAATGGCCCGATCGCCAAATTTCTGTCCGAGGTCCCAGATGTTTGGCTCGGGGGCAGAGGGGGTGTCTGGCCGTGGTGCCCCACCACGCCTATCGGGGCCTTGGTGCCCCACCACGCCCAGGAACCTGAGGGTTCCTCCATCGGGGCCATATCGCCGATTTATCGGCGGTGCACTGCCGATTCCAAGTCAATGGTTCCCCCCTAACTGGGGGAGAGGAGGGGGGGAATTTTTCCTCCTCGCCCCTCCTCTTCCTCCCTCCCACCTATCTGGCATCGCCACCCATCCCCGACCAGGCGGATCACCTCCAGGAGAGGGGTATGGGGGGAGGAGGAGGCGGAGGAGGAGGAGGGGGCAGTGAAGGAGGACAGGACTAGGGAAGAGGGACGTGACTGATCGCCATAAAGCACGTGGGTCCTGGTCCTTAGGGGAATTGCTCTTGAGGTTGTTTGCTGGTTTTGGGCTTCTGGGGACCTTTCCTGAGTTTGGGGGCCGCCAGAACACGCCTACGAGAGGGACAGTTGGTACCAGGGGTCGACCCTGGGGTCCAGGAGTCCAGGATTTGATGCTCCCCCTAATGACCCGCTGCTTTTCATGCCACAGGAGGAGGAGGAGGTGGATGTGCATGAGGATAGCGGAGGAGGGCAGCGAAGATAATGATACTAGTAGTCGCTAAGTTATTGATATTGCTGTTAGTCTTTTGTGTCGCAGTATTCCTATTAAGAATATGGATACACTCTGAAAGAAACTTGTACTAGTACATTACGAATACCATCCAGGTGTTTCAAAGCCGCCTGACAGTACTGATGATGCTGATGACGATGTTGATGCTGCTGATGCTGAGGATGATGATAATGTTAATGATGTGATGGTGATGATGAGAGTGTTAATGATGATGATGATGATCATGCTCATCATCATGATCATGATGATGACGATAACGATGATGTTGATAATGATTATGATGGTGATGATTTTGATGATGAAGATGAGGATGAGGATCCTCATGATGCTGATGATGGTGATGATGACGATCATGAGGACGCAGAAGAAGGAGGATACAAAGGGGGACGAGGCGAAGGAGGCGCGGGGGAAGGATGACGAGGCCGAGGACGAGGACGAGGAACACAACGACGACGGCGACGGCGACGACGACGCCGACGGTTGCGGCGGCTGCGGCGACAGCGACTATGGTTATGACAAAAAAGAGGAGGACGCGGAGGAGCAGATGGAGAAGACGATGACGAGGAGCGCGGTTAGTGTCCCGTGCTGAACTCGCCACCCACAGAACCACCCCAACCCAACCCGAAGGCCCCAATTCGCCTTCAATTCCCATTGGGGGGGCGTCGTGTCTTTGGGTCAGGTTGGGGTGGTCTGGTAGGTAGTCATGAGCTGCCTCCCGGTCCCCCACAAAATCATCGCGCAGCAGGTGTACATCGGGCCGCAGCGCTACTTTGTCACCTCCGACGTCGGGGACGGCAGGATCCAGTGGTACGCCTTCCTGGCCCTGCCGCCGGGGACGAAGAAGGCGGAGGACACGGGGCGAACGGCAGCGGGGGGGTGGCAACAAATTCGGTAGGGCGGGTATTCAAGGAGTGCACTTGCAATCGGACCGAGGTATAAGATCGAGGTCGGCTCGGGGAGGTTACCCTGCTGTTCTTCGTGTTTGTTGGCTGTTCTTATGCACCCCGGGGAGGGTACCCTGGGATGTTCTGTGTGTTTTGGCTGGCGGGAAGTTCTCGCGTTCTTGAGGGAGGTTCTTCTGTCCTGGGTTCGATTGCAATGGGGGGGAATAATAGTAGAGGCCGAAAGGACCCTCTAGGGCCCCTTCTGGAGCCAGCAGGGGCCCAACAGGGGCCCTGAAGGGCCGCTTCAGGGTCCTTTTCGTCACCCCCATTTGGGTCACGTTCTCTTGACCCGATTTCGGGCAGGTCGAGGATTGCAGGAAAGTGGCCCTACCCTGAGATCCGGGCGGTGAAGTTGTTCCACGCCGGGCCTTCCGGGCGTTGCAAAGTTTCCGCGCCAGGCGTGTTCGCCCGTTTTCGGGCCCCGGGACCATCACAGATTGATCAGGCTCGGAAAATCGAGCAGAAAGATGGGGTCAAGGGTTTGAGTTGTGCTTTTCCTCAGCGTGTTCTTTTTTCGCAACGCCATATCTCAGGGCAGATAAGCACTTCGTGGCTCCTGATCAGCCACCTGGGCCCTCAAGGGCTCCTGAGCTGCCACCGCGGGCCCAGCAGGTCCAAGCGAGGTGCGCACTTCTTCGCCACCTTCTCACTGCCCCCCCCCCAGTTGACGAGCGCAGCGCGCAAAAGGGCCCACGCGACAGGGGTCGGCGCCAGTGGGAGTCGGCCGATCCCCTCCGGCTGGCCCAGGGTGAGGGACCACGTGGAGCCGGTCGTCCCTCCACCTCCGGGCAATGTCAGCAGCGGGTGGGTAGGCCCGGGGGGGGGATGCATCGACCCCAATCGCCCACTGATCGCCGAGAGGGGGCTGATGGCCCACCCCGCCCAGGAACGTGCGGATTCGCAATCGGGGGCCTGTCGCCGATCTATCGGCGATGTATCGCCGGTTTCATGTCGATGTTTCCCCCCCCCTCAGCTGGCCCCCCCTAACTTTACCCCATCCCCGCCGTCCGCTGGGAGCCTTCTTGGCCGGCATGGGTTCGCGGCATGCCCCTGGCTGAGCCGGGGCCAGCGCTGACCCGGGTGAGCGCGCCCCCGAGGACACCTGGGAGGGCTCCGGATCGTCATCTGGCCAGGGGCAGGACGTCATCGAGTGGCTGAAGGGCCTGCACGAGGCTGCGGGTACCGCAATCTGCTTGTGCCGGTGGCGGCTGCTGGCTGAACGGCCTGCAAGGTCCCGGGCCAGAGGGAGGATCAGGCTTAGGATCGAGATACATCGCTCTCAGAGCTTTCTGGAACGCTCTGATACGGCCGCGTTGCCCGCGTCATCTTCCAGAACCGCTGGCTTTCGGAAATCACCGATGTATCCCGATCCGATGTTGTCCGATCCCGATCCCGATGATCCCGTTCCTGAGTTGGTTTTAGAGGAAATGCGCGACACCGCCACCAACGACATGGCCACTGCTGGCGTGGAGCTCAACGGTGATCATGGCCAGATAGAACTATGTTTCTCAAGCGTGAGGCCAACAAACAGCGACACCACATCATCACGAGGAGCTTCCTCTTCCCCATTGGTCCTGTGACGGGTGACGTCTTTCCTTGCTCGTAATTCGCTTCGGTATAGGGGTGGGGGCGGACATCTTGCGACGGAAAACTTTTGTCATGATGCCTGGCCCCTAGCAGCCGAAAAGGTTTGTGACAGAACATCTGCTACAAGAAACGCGCCCGAAATCGTGGTTCAACGCATCGTGTGACCGAACGTATAATCGATTCTGGAGAGCATGAGCAATGGCTTCGGGCCCAATTCGGCCACACTCTAGCACGATCCGAAAAATCTGGCGCCAGTTTCGGTCACACGGGCGCAGCCTCGGGCACAATTTCGGTCACGATCCCCCCCTTGATAGAGACGACGCTGCGGGTTCAGAGAGATCGCATGGCTGGGGGCTCTCACTGAGTCCAAGGCTGAGCTTAGGACCAGCCAAGGAGTTGCTGGTGAGCCCTCGGTTGGTTTGCCAGCCTGTTAGATGCCGTAGTTAAATACGGGTGCCATGGCCTGGGGGTTCACAATTTTCGTCTTGAGTTTGACGTCCGTATCTGGTGTGGTTGGGTTTTCCGACTGTCTCCTTTCATCACACACACACATCAAGCACCATCGTCATATCGCCCGCCCATCACAATATGCCACAGATTGGCAGCGCGAATTAGGTCATGAGCATATCGCAGCACATCACATTCTTCATGATGCCCAGTAGGAGTGAGTCGAGCATGCATCACACGAATTCCAGCTTCCATCTCAGTGTCGCGATGCGCGCAACACAACGCGCATATCAACAACTGTGCGCGGTGCCACCACATGATCCCATTAGCACGTCTCCCGCCTTCTTTCTGGCCCTCCCTCCTCGTTCCAGCTTCCACTCTCCTTTATCCCCTCGCCTATCTGTTTTGTGGTTCCTCCGTCCTCTTCCTCTTTCTTGAGCCTCGTTAGAGTGTTTCCCAAGTCTTGGAGCGGAGACTGACAACACGGGCAACCAGTATGGGGCTCCCTGCTTACGTCCCCCCGCCTACATTTCCTCTTACTCGCAGGCCATGTCCACCCTGTGCCCCAAGTTTGGGGCTCGTGGCTCCATCAGGTCAGTGTCAGTAATCCTTGCTACGGGGGGCCCTCTCGCGCTGCCAGTCGTCCTCCGATTTGTCGTTTTCAATCCGGCCCCCGCATCTCGCAGCCCCAGAGCTCTCGATCCCTTCCGCAGGGCTGGTTTCCCGTCCTGGGTCAATGTTTGATGGTCATGGGCCCCGATGGCGCGCCGACTTCGGCAAACAAGGACTACTAGCACTGAGGGCCCCGGCCCCCCCGCGCAAACCCCAAAGGGCACCGCTCCCATCGGAACCGCGCGCTCGCCTCGCCTCGCCCGATGGCGCGTCCAAGAGGCCGAAATCTAGGAAAACCGCCGAGTGCGAAAAAGTCATACTATAGGATATCTGGGCTTGCAGGGAAAGTGTGTGCCTCCGCGCGCGCGTGCGTTTCCGACGACGCCCGCGCCAGGGCTGGTCCAGCGAGGTCTTCCAGGTCCTCGAGGCGACGCCGGCCGAGTCTGTGGAGCAGCGCGACCTCTACGATCGGAGGGGAGGGGGCCAGGAGTGGGAGCAAGACGAGCGAGAGGTACGCGTCGCCTGCCCGATGCCGCCCTCTCGGAACCCGGACCCTCTCGCGCAGTGAAAGATCATGACGGCCGTGTTTCTGTTTGGTGCTGGTTTCTGCCGCTGGGGGCCCTCGCAGGGACCTCGGACCGTCAAAAAAACGACCCAGGGTGACAAGGTGGTCCAGGGGAAGGGGTCCAGACCTCTAGGGGTCGACGTTGAGACAAAATCGCGAAGTGGAGAAGTCTGGACAGGGGGAGGGGAGAGTGGGTCGCCAGCGTCCCAGAGAGGGCCTAGCCCTGGGCAGGCCGCCAGGGGGCGCAAGGGATTGGCCGCCCTTGTTCTGTCACTTCGCGTCGGTGCTGTACGGTAACACCTCGTGCTGCCTCTCGCTCGGTGGGTCACTCGGAGAACGGCTTCGGGATAATCGCCAGGGTGCGACAGGGATGCCCCCTGTCCTCCATCATGTTCTCTATTGTCTCGGACGTCTTGATCCGCAGAGTCTGCCCGTTTGCAGCCTGCAGTGGTAGTTCGCGCTTGCGCAGACGACACCGCTCCAGCGCTGAGTCGCGGCCCACCGGAATGCGAGGCCCTGAAGGTCATCTCGGCGAGTACGAATTCGTTTCTTGCCTGAGGTTGCATCGCTGCAAGTCTATTCTCGTCCCGCTTTTTTATTTTTTGTTCTCTCTCTCTCTCTCTCTTTCTCTCTCTTTTTCTCCAGCCAAACAAAGAAATCCGAGCGGCGGTGGCGGGCTCAGCCTGATTGTGGGGTTATGGCGGGACACGCGACATGCTTGGGCTTCCTCCTGGGCCACGCCGCGGCATGGGCTTGTTTCGCCGGCGCTGGTTTCGCCCCGTTGGTCTCGCCGACGGCTGGTTTCGCCGGCGCCACGCTGGTTTCGCCGGCGGCTAGTTTCGCCGGCGCTGGTTTCGCCGGCGTTGGTTTCGCCGACGCGAGCCCTAACGAGCGGTTCGGGTCGGGCGGGCGGACCCTGAAAGGCGGACCGGGTCGGGCGGGCGGGACATTCAAGTTTGGGGCGCGCTCGACCGAGCACGCTCGAACCCTAAGGGGCGGGTCGGGTCGGGCGGGCGGGCCCCAGCAGGCGGGACGGGTCGGGCAGTTTCGCCGACGGCAGCTGGTTTCGCCGACGGCAGCTGGTTTCGCGGACGGCAACCGGTTTCGCCGACGGAGCTGGTTTCGCCGACGGAGCTGGTTTCACTCCAGGCGGCGAAACCAGCCAGGCGAAACAAACCGTCGGCGAAACCAGCGGTCGCCGCCCAGGGGTCCCTCGCATGGGACGCCGCCTGGGCGAACATTCAGGAGGGGGCGCTGGTTTGGAAGAGCACTGGCGGCGGCATGCTCGTCTCCATTGCAGCCTTTCGCATGTACGTTTTGCCCCTGGCCGACTCCCTCGCCCAGTTGGAAGATCTGCCCCCGCAGTGGGAGCAGGTCGAGCGGCGACTCATAACGACGTTTTTCCCTGAAACCCGGGGCTGGGCAACCCCGGGCTTCATGCAGCAATTACAAGGATCGGGATTTGCAGCGGACGCTCCAGATCCAGTTGCCATGCCGCTAGGTGCGAAGGCCAGAGTATCTCATTGAGAATACGCTGCGCACGGAGGCCTTCAGATCCCCCGCCGGCTGCGACGCCTTCAACAAGCGGTTGCGTCTGCTGCGCCCCTGGTTTACCAACACATTCTTCTTCGACGTACTGCAGGCTCATCTGCGGCCGCTGCGAGCCTCAGCGTGGACCTCCTGCTTCAGGGGGCTGTGGCGGCTCCAATTCCGAAGAACCGTTGGCAGCGGCGTTGCAGTGAGACGCACCGAGTCCGCGAATGGTTTCGCCGGCATCCGTGGGCACGTAGGAATCATTGGCCGCTTCTTGTTATTCCCGGACGTCGTGTGCTCACAGTGGGCAAGGGCAGCCTTCAGTCTCGGGGCGGTCAGGTCTGCTTGCGTGGTGATCGGAGGCTGGCTGCTGTCCGACGAGGGGGGGATGGGGCTTGGTGGTGCAGGCACGGAGGACCCTGTGCATCACCGTGTTCGCCGAGCTGTTCTTTTTCCAACCGTTGTGGCCGAGATCCTTGGGACAAAAGGCAGCGGGGGATACGGTCGAGAACTTTAGGATAGCGCGTCACGGTGCCGGTTTTGCCCACCACGCTTCCGCGAAACTCACGGTCCGCTTCCCAGTCCCCAAGCGCGAACGGCTTGAGCCTTCCCGAGCCTCGCACCCCGAGGGTCGGAGCGACACGCTATCAGCTTGTCAGGCATAGCATGTCGCAGTGGCCAGCGTCGCGACACGCTAAGCAAAAGTTCCAGACCGTAGCTGCACAGGTTCCCCTCCAGGTGGAGCCGG